GGGGTGGCCCCACGGCCGTGGGCTGCCGGGAGCCCGCTCTCGTATTCAAGCACCCCACCGGTCGCCGCGGAAGACCTGCCGCCTTGGGTCTTCTGCGTGGACCACTACTCTGCCGACACTGCCGTCCACATACCGAAGCATGATGCCGTTCTGGCATTACCGAGCACCTTCCGTTCGGTAATCCATCCCGGCGATCGCGGCACCCCGCTACCATTCTGGCTCTTGGACTTGTGGCGACGTCTGCGCAACGTCCATACGGTTCGGTCCAATGTCGAGCGTGGACTGGAGTGGCTCAGCGAAGTTGGACGACAAGAAGAAGTTGACAGAGCGGTCGTCAAAGTACAGACTGCCCGAATGCTCGACCTGCCGGCGTTGCTGCACCCATGGTGCGACCTCTTCTCGCATCTGACCACGGACGACCGTGACCTCAACGACGAGTTGATCGACGCAGTCATCGCTATCGTGATGCGTCATACCGACCGCCTCACCCGTCCCCTCCACGTCTATTCCCCTATCGTGACGCAACTGTCACCGGTAGACTTGGTCGACCTCTTCGGCAAACTCGCCGCTCGAGGTGACTTCGCCACTGACAGCATCATCTGCCTCCCGTGGTATATTGGCGGCGAGTGGGTGTTCGTACTCATCAACATGGCAAGTGATGACATCAGAATCGGTTATTGCATCCCCCAACACGACCACGATGGCTTACTCGAGATCGCCATGCGCACTGCGATCCGGATCGCTCACACGGTGGAAGTGTCGGTGCGCCAGACTCGCACCGACTGGATAGTGCGCGAATATCTGCGTGGGGATGAAGATCAAGAAGCCTCCGTCTTCTCTGGGCTTGCTATCGCTGTAGGATTTTTGAAGAACATTTTGGAAGGGGTGACGGTTTTCTCGAGCGAAACAGCACGAAGACATCGCATAGAAGTCCTCTTTGCCATCTTGGACCACCACCCTCATGTGAGCCTAGATGAAAGTCACTCCTACATCTCTAAACATGATATCATTTTCAGAATCCGGTCATCTTGGAAGATGAGAAGCTGAGTCTGTGGGAGTCGCAGGACACAGTACGGAGTGGGTCGTTACCGGCCACTTCCGATGGGGAAGATCTCCGCTCGGCATCACCGGTATCGCACTCGGTAGGCTCCGCCGGCCCAGGATCCCCCTCCCCACCGCCAATCTTCTCCCGTACACTGGCGAGCGATATGGCGCCTCCTCCGTCACTCCCAGTCTTTACGCGTACCCTAGTACCGGCCACTTCCGACCAGACTGATCACCACTCGGTATCACCGGTACTCCCCCCAATCCGCCCTGCCTTCTCCCGGACACTGGTGCCTCCCTTGACAGTCCTTTCCACATCGCCGCCGGTGTTCACGCGGACACTCGAACCACCGTCGTCTTCCTCGACCGCTACATCACCTTGGGCCTTAGGTTTCCAGAGTGGCAAGCGGCTTTCTGACCTGTATGGCGGGTTAGTAGACCCCTTTACGCCCCCACAGGAGGTCACATGCATGATACCTGGGTTCTTCGGTGGATTGGGCCAACTGGACACTTCACTCAGGAGTGATGACCGCCCAGTACCGCCGGAATCCGCCTCGGTCGCTGCGCCAGTCTTCTCCCGGACACTGGCGCGACCCTTGACAACCCTTTCCACATCGCCGCCGGTGTTCACGCGGACACTCGAACCAGTGTCGTCTTCCTCGACCGCCCCATCAAAGCCATTTACCCCCCCGGAGGGCAGAGCCTGATGGGTGGTGTCTCGTCGTCCTCCCCCCTGTCCACAGTTACGCGACCGCTGGCGCGCTCCTCCAGGCCCGACTCTCCACTGTCGGAATTCACTCGGAAGCTCACCATGCCCGTGACTGCCGAACCGTCGCCTCCGGTATTCAGCCGAAGGCTTGCCATTCCGTCGACGACATCCTCTTCGCAGCCGGTATTCACCCGCACACTCGAGTCGCCGTCGGCATCCTTGACCGTCCCAGGCCCACCACCAGCTTTCACACGAGGGCTCGCCGTCGAGTCCAAACCGACGTCGTCACAGCCGGTATTCATGCGAACGCTCGCACCTACCGACGCTTCGCCACCGGCATTCATCCGGCAACTGGCCCGCCCTCCAACACCGACCTCCGCACCACCGGTGTTCACTCGCACACTGTCCAGTGCTGTGGAACCCATGCCACCGGTGTTCGCACGTAGGCTGGCCATCCCTTCAACCTCCTCGTCCTCACCCCCGGCTTTCACGCGCCAGCTGGCGAATCCTACCATGGGTCCCACCGATGAGAGGATGAATATCGAGGAGCCTGGGCATTCAGTTGCTCCTCCCGCCTTCAAACGCTTGTTGAAGCACGTTTCCGAGCGTGAACATAGCGCGGACTCATGATACGGAGGTTAAATGACACTGGGTTTTTTCTTGGTTTGTGGAGTACTGCAATGTTTCGAATATGCTTTCGTATTTTGTAATGGACTAGCTATGTGAACACAGAACCTGACGTCTGACGGTATGTTTCAATCGTATGACGAGCAATACCGAACACATTATCGGTATCAATGATTACTCAAAACCATGTGCGCACTTGAACCTGTGGAAGACCCGGAAAGGAGCCGCACTTGAAGAAGACACAGGAGCATGGCGTACACTAGTCTTATCGCTACGGGTTAGCCTCAAAATACAGGATAATGAAAGGGGATCGAGCAGGCAGCAGTACTTTCCGTAGCCCAACGGACCAACCGAAATATGCGGCAATGTACTCCATACACCACCGTAATTCCGATGTTTTCCGGCTGACGGGGCTCGTACAGCCGTCTTGGGCAGGGGACACACTCGTACAACCTCGGGTAATAACCAGGATTTCCTGGTTGTAGAGCTGTACTTGTTCTTTACTCGTCACTTGAATACGGCTACTGATAGGTCGCGTTTTATTACCACCACCACGGAAGCCCTTAGGGAAACATCACCTGTCCATGCATTTGCAATACCGAGGCCACTGCCGAGATTGCTGTGGATAACCGCAATTCCGGTGTGTGCCGCCTTTGGGGAGCTCGTACGACCGTCTCGGACGGGGTACACGCTCGTACGAGCTCCGGCAGTGTTTGCATCGCCGTGGGGTAACCACCGCACGTATGGCCTTAAAACAAGTCAGTATGTGCTCAGAACGTCTGTGGCTACGTACTACATGCATTACCGCAATTTCGGTGCGTGCCAGCTGAGGGAGCTCGTACGACCGTCTCGGACGGGGTACGTGATCGGAGCTCGTACGACCGTTACCGACGGTCTACATGACCGGAGCTCGTACGAGCTCGTATCACCGTTACCGACGGCAACATGAGGGGGTCGTACCGCCGTTACCGACGGCTACAGAGGGGGAAGGGGGTCCTATTATCTGTGACAATGCGTCCAACAATAATGTCATGATACAGAAAATGGAAGAAGCAATCGACTCCTTCCTTGGTGGCCGTGCTCGAGTCCGGTGCCTCTGCCATGTGGTCAATCTCGTTGCTAAGTCTATCATCTCTGTATTCGACACTGCTCCAAGTGTCAAGAAGTCGGACAAGAAGTCGAAGAAGTCCGATGACGACTTGGAGGAAGACTCACACCTCGCCGACATATTTTCATCTATGACAGATGACGAGGTGAAGAAATTCCGGGCAAGCGTTGAGCCTGCCAAGAGCGTGATACATAAGGTATGGTTTACTCCTTGGAATAGCTCTCAGTTCTAATCGCTTTCAAGCAGCTTCGTCAGATCTCCTTCGCAATTATAAATTCTCCGACGAAGCTTCTTCCAGCATGGAACGAGATTCTTCGAGATCTCCAGCTTCCTCCCCGGATGCTGCCTCGAGATGTTCGCACTAGGTGGCACTCAACTGGAGATATGATTCATCTCTCGCTCAAATATCGTGCTGCTGTGGACCGGCTGACCTCAGACAAGACAAACGATCTGCGACACCTCGAGATTGACCCAACCGAATGGACAATGGCTGAGGATATCAAGAACGCTCTTCAGGTCAGCTCCTACGTTTTTTGCCACTCTTTATGCTGTACTTACATATGCGCTAGATACTGAAAGATGCGACACTGTTTTTCTCTCGGAAAGAAGCAAACTTGGGCCACGTTCTCGCCTCCATGGAACACATCCGGACGACACTCCAGGGAGACAAGAAGAATTACAGTCCCGCCATTTCCATGGCTTTCAAGGCCGGTCTCAAGACGTTTGAGAAGTACTACTATCTGACAGACTCGTCGGACCTGTATCGCATCGCAATGGGTGTGTTTCTTTCTTTGTGGAGTTCTGTCATTGCTGACGAATATTTCGCAGTACTGAATCCACGCTACAAGCTCTCGTACGCGCAAACGGACCTGAAATACACCCAATCATGGGTCACCAAGACTAGACAGCTGGTTCGAGCGGAATTCGAGAAGAATTACGCCTCTATTGACGTCCCAGAACCGTCCGACACGTCTGATGATGGTGCGGCTGTGGGCAGCGCCGAGAAGAAGGTCAGTATAGTACGCTGTTTAATTCGTGGATATGCACTCATTATTTTATGGTTCAGAGTCCCGAGAAGCCTGTCAACACATTCGATGCGCTTCTGGACTCTCAAGCGTCTTCTTCCAAGCAGAGGTCTCGTCAGGAAGATGAGCTCGACAAGTACTTGCGCATTTCGAGAGAGAAGAACCTCAAGGACGCGTTTCAATGGTGGCAAGAGCACAGATTCGACTACCCAAGACTCTCTCAGATGGCCCTTGACTATCTATCTATTCCCGGTGGGTCTGACACATTATCGGACACCTATTACAGTCGTTCTTACATTAAATCTAGCTGCATCCATAGATCCCGAGCGCGTTTTCAGTACTGGCCGCATTCTCCTCTCGCACGTACGAAATAGGCTATCTGCGTCTTCAACTCGAGCAATTTTGTGCCTTGGAGACTGGAGCAAGCAGGGCTTCGTTGATTCGACTGACATTGATCATGTGGCCGCGCTGCAGGAGGTTGAAATAGCTGACAAGGACGATAGCGACGCTGAGGAGTTTATTGAGGACGATTCCGACGCTTCCTACTATGTGTAGAATTATTATACATGTTCCTCACTCGTGGAGTCTCTTCTATCTATTGTACTGTTTCGTCCGAGCACATACCCGTATCCTCCAGCCTCCTACCCGCGAATACCCGTACACGTGTCAGACGGGTACGGGTATTCTACGGGTCGAGTACGGGTACACAGATTTTACCCGTACCCGACAGGCCTACGTCCCAGACGGCGGGGGGCACGAGCTTGAGAAGGCGGAGGGCCCCGTGCGCTTCGTCGACGAGAAGGGGAAGTCGCGCCCGGCGTCGAGCGCGACGTGGGCCACCGCCGTGGACGAGGAGCGAAAGTCACGCCCGCTATCCAACGCCACGACCGTGACGATTGTGGAGGAGAGAAGGAGGTCGCGCCCGCTGTCGAACGCGACGTCGTCCACGGCCGTCTGACACACCCTGTGTGTCGAGAAGGAGCGTTTGGCGCAGTATGCTATTTTGTACTATGGTTCTCCGCTGTATACTATTTTTGTCCCGCGTACTGCCAGTCGGTGGTGGCCGATTCGGGTTTTGATTGCAAGTTGGACTTAAGAAGCTCTCATGCGGCATCTTCCTACATACCTTCGACGCTCTTCATGAGAACAACGAGGCGATCACATGAGGGACCTCAGTACGCTAGAGTATATAATGACACCTATTAGGTGTCAGATCAATTGGCATGTGTCATATACCCGCGCGCAAAGAAACCGCCACGTGACGAGATAGGCCGCAGGGCGCTACGCGCGAAGCGCCCGGCAAAACTCAAACTGCATTTAATCTGTTTCGAACACGGGCATCCGGGATATAGTTGCCGCTCCACCAACTGCACCATCGGACTGTTAATAGCGCTCAAACTTGATGTGCTATAGCCTCATCAAATGGTAGGTATGAACACTTGTAAATCCTCACAGAGGGCATGTTTTTCGCACTTGCACAAAACGCTCCTGGATGGCGCTTATCTTGGTACTGATTGTGCATCTGCCAATTACGCCGTGTGGCACACACCAGCGCCTATTTCTGATAGCTGCGCCAGTCAGCGCCTTCCCCCGCGCCGCTGCGCCGCCTTGATGGCCCCGATATCTCCGGACGCTCCGCACCGCCGCGTCTTCGCCGGCGCCTCCCCACTCCGCCACCTGTGCTCACCGCCTCCAACAGCGAGCTCGCTGTCCCGCCGCCCCGCTCTCCCCTCTCCTCCGTTTCCCTCCATTCCTTTTTGTATCCGCTTGTATTTAAAATGCGCACCTAATGGTATATAATGCAATACCCTCACTCAGCTGGGTGAGCCTGCATTGAGCCCTTATACCCCCAAAAATGCGTGCAACATAGGAACTTATACAATGGATCAATCGACTGGCTATTATCTGCATCTGATAGGATTATGAGAACTCGTTTTTCATTTGAAATCGCAGGTGGATAGCTGGAAGGGTGCAGGTATGATGTCATATGTCATTTCAGGATGACATATTCCACAGTGATATGGTATATACATTTATCGTTATATGGACACCTAGAATCATACATAGAGATCAATCAGAGCGCAATCACAAAGAAGCAGGTGAAACGACGATGTTTTGGCGATGATATGACATGTGCTCAGAAGGGAGGACTACATTGAAAATGCGGCCTTCATATGTTCTTGTGCAGACGTCTAATCACTGTACCATTTGCTTCATTGCGTTCCTATACATTTATAGAGCTCAGATCGTCATTTTCGTGCTTATCGGTGCAGGATTGAAGATAGGGTATGGTATGTCATTATTCTATGACATAGTGTATAGCAAGATGAAATGTGCTCCGATTACTTTTCTGAAAAGCGGAATAGAACAGGGGAGTCTTCTCCTACACGATGAAAAAGTAATCTTGAAAAACGGCCAAGAAACGGTGGAGATATGTTAGAGGAGCCTAGTATGGCAGGTTGTGCAGAGGACGCTCTTGAACCACCCACACCGCTTGGCACACTCTGAGCTCCTATGGCATATCTCCACCGCTTCTTGGCCGTTTTTCAAGATTACTTTTTCATCGTGTAGGAGAAGACTCCCCTGTTCTATTCCGCTTTTCAGAAAAGTAATCGGAGCACATTTCATCTTGCTATACACTATGTCATAGAATAATGACATACCATACCCTATCTTCAATCCTGCACCGATAAGCACGAAAATGACGATCTGAGCTCTATAAATGTATAGGAACGCAATGAAGCAAATGGTACAGTGATTAGACGTCTGCACAAGAACATATGAAGGCCGCATTTTCAATGTAGTCCTCCCTTCTGAGCACATGTCATATCATCGCCAAAACATCGTCGTTTCACCTGCTTCTTTGTGATTGCGCTCTGATTGATCTCTATGTATGATTCTAGGTGTCCATATAACGATAAATGTATATACCATATCACTGTGGAATATGTCATCCTGAAATGACATATGACATCATACCTGCACCCTTCCAGCTATCCACCTGCGATTTCAAATGAAAAACGAGTTCTCATAATCCTATCAGATGCAGATAATAGCCAGTCGATTGATCCATTGTATAAGTTCCTATGTTGCACGCATTTTTGGGGGTATAAGGGCTCAATGCAGGCTCACCCAGCTGAGTGAGGGTATTGCATTATATACCATTAGGTGCGCATTTTAAATACAAGCGGATACAAAAAGGAATGGAGGGAAACGGAGGAGAGGGGAGAGCGGGGCGGCGGGACAGCGAGCTCGCTGTCGGGGACGACGAGCACGGGGCGCGGGTCGGAAGCGCGCGAGGTGGGCGTGGGAGATAACGTGGGTGCAAGCGGGAGAGATGACACAAACTGATGGGAGATCTGATAATATGTCCGTGGGTGCAGTAGATCCATAACAACGTATATGGGGAACCTTGTACGGACGCGTAGCTCAGCTGTAAAGCTGAGCTGCGCTTTGTTTATGCTAGGCCGGGGTTCTAATCTCGGCAGACGCAAGTCTTTTCTAGGCGCCCGCTGTGCGCGCATGGCCCGCGCCTACCCGCATGCCCCAGGAATTGGCACATGCCCATTGACCCGACACCTAATAGGTATTGGTATATATATAGGCGTACTGAGGTATATGGATCACATTTCCGCCGAGTGCAGCAGGAAATGTTCCTTGGACTCCTCCGATACCTCGAGCTCGTGGGTAATCCTCGGGCGTAGATTGGCTATCTCTAGAGGCTCTCCCTATGCTTCGTATGTCGCCATGGTTGGAAAAATGTACTATCTATTCGTGTCCTTCTTCGTCTCCTCCTTCTTCGTCTCCTCCTTCTTCGTCTCCTCCTTCCTCATCCTCATCCTCCTCGTCATCTTCTTCGTCCGATCCTCCTTCTATGCCCGCTACTAGCGTCACGCTCCCAACACCGGCCGCCTTCATCTTCTCCCTCCACATCTCAATGTCAAACGGTGGCTCGCCAACGAACACCAGCTCCTCCAGCGGTTTCCCGTGCTCCCGCAGCGCTTCCGTCAACTCCACCGGATACCTCAGGTCTGCGCGCATGTCGTCCGTGCTCGCGATCGACAGCCGCGTGAGCTTGGGGAAGCACCGGAGAAGCGCCGCCCACTGCGCCCGCTCCGTGAACAACGAGGCGCCGCCGAGCTCGAGAGCGGAGGGACCGTCGGGAGAGCGTGTGCGGTCGACGAAGCGCTCGAGGCCATCGAGCACGGAGGAGACCTCGGTGTCATAAGAGTCGCACAGGTCCGTCGTGTTGCAGCGGACGACGAAGCGGTGCGTCCTGTCCGCGGTCCAGCCTTCGATGCCAAACGAGTAGTCGGCGGCGACGACGCGCAGCCCGACGAGCGAGCGGAGGACGGGGAGCGAGTCTGCGAGCGTGTGGGGAAGGTGGCCGAATATGTCCAGAGCCTCGCTGCCGCTGCAGACGACGCGGACGAGTTGGGTGCGGGGCAGGCGGAGGCGCTGCAGCACCCAGGCGGTGTCCGACGCGCGGTAGATCTCCTCCGTGAGCTCGAGGATGCGGAGGTGGGCCATGGTGACCGGCTCTGTGAGCCCGACGTGCGCGAACCACATGTCGTTCGACCAATATAGGTGGCCTTCTTGCTGGTATCCGCAGCCGAGGCGGAACTCTTCTAGTTGCGGCGCGGTGCGGAGGAGCCCCAGGACCTCCGTCGGCGTGATCTTCAACAGGGTGGTGAGCGAGACGCACTTGAGGCGCGCAAAGATCGCTGGACGCGGCACTTGCCAGCGTGCGTTGACCGAGATCGTCGTGAGAGCGGGGGCGTTGTGCTGCTCGAATGTGAATGGCAAGAGGGTGTTCCGGCGCGTCTCCCGGTTGGAAACGTCCGACTCAAGGACGAGTGTCGTCAAGGCGGGGAACGTCGTCGATAGGAAGAACTCGTTGAGAGGATCGCGGTCTTCCCGGTTGAGGGGAGTAACCGCGAGGGACCGGAGATGGAGTGCGTGTGGAGATATTTCAGCGAGAAACGACCTTGTGTCTTCGTGCTCGAGCCACATATCGAGCGGGAGGATGACATCGATGGGAACTCCGTCCGAGCGGACGAGACAGAGCATCAACCACTCCCGCGCATGGGGCCCGCTTGCTAGGATGGTGCTCCAGAAACGCTTCTCGGAGACGATGGTTTCGTTCCAGCGGCGGGACACGAGGCGTAGGGGGAGCCAACTGTGGAAGCCAGGGTTGGGCTCATACTCGGCTAGGTGGGTAAATGACGACTTGAGGCCTGGCCTCTGAATGATCCATCGCAATAGCAAACGGAAGAGCTCTTGTGGTATTTCTTCCATGGGGGCACGATTGTCCAGTTGTGTTTCGGAGTGGATGGGGATGGTGAAGGCAGGAAAACATGCTCAGGCGCCGGACTCGATCTCCAAGGCGCCTATCTGTGCTCGCGCCGTCTTCCGTCGTCTTACAATACCATCCATCCATTTCTCGCGCCCACCCACTGCACCTTTTTCGCTCCCGTCACTGTTAATTACCTTGAATTGTTTCAGGTGATCGCCACGGCACCGTTCGACCCACCAGGACACCCCCAAGTGAATACTTATTTCGAAATTGTGGCCGCTGTCTCTTCCCAGATCGCCCACGTGAATGTCTCTTCCCGTCCGTGCTCTACCTCTCTTCTCCTGTGTTCGCCCTCTCTGCGGCCTCTCCAGAGTCGTCCACGTGCACTTTACTGCAAGATAAGGTGGGAAGACGCGAAGCCGAGAAGCTTGTGGAGTCACATGGGAACGACGTCGTCCAAGTGCAGGCCGACTCTCACGTCCGAGCTCCGCGACGGTACACCCACGACGCCCACAACACACTCAAGACCCCGAATGCGAGTCTCCAGGGAGCACCGGCCCGGCTTGCGGGGTGCGCATGGGATGCGCGTTGCGCAATTGAGCACCGTGTCAGGTGAGTGTTAGTCGGGTGATTCCTTTCGCGCGTACCGTGTAGTCCTGGTACGCAAGTCCTTGTCGCTTGAGGGGACGTGCAGTCGATCGTTCAAAGCGCAGGCGCGCAAGCCAGGCGGAGACATGCTCAGGGCACGCAGTCATACCGTCCGGCGGTCGCCCCCCGGTACGTATTCTGGTTCTACATATGGTACACGAGAGGGGCGGGACGGGACGCGCTCGGTGTGTGCTTTAGGCGACAAAACTGACCTGTCTCCGTAGGTTTCTGATACGTGTTGGCGGTGCTGCCATCTACACGCGAGGCATCTGGTACGGCCGACAATGACAGCCAGGCTGTGGGCACAAACTCGTTTTGGTGAGCATGTGTCAGAAACTGCGAGGATGCATCAAACTGACCATTTTCTGCCTTCCTGGAGAGCCTCAGGACGCTGCCGCGGCGCGCGACAGACCTGTTCACAGTCCGCGTCCCCATGCGTGAGACAGCCGAGTCACTGGCGGATCGGGACGTGTTAGCAGTGTGGCAGTCAATCCCTCGAAGCGCGGACAAACCGGTCAGGCAGGCACGCCGTCCGGTTGGTCCCTGGTACGAGCACGTTTACACGGTCGTGCTGAGATGCGAGAGGAGCGGGATGGGACACACCCCCGGGTTGAGCTTACGCAGGACTAGGCCGAGCTTTTTCCACAGGTTCTGGCGAATTTTGGCGGCGCGTCTCCACGTGCATATACTCGTCGAGGTGAGGAGTCTGTGCGACGCTGCGCGCGATGATAGACTGACCTGTTCGCACGCAGGGCGGTGGTACGCGCGCGGTGTGCGCGGGCGGGTGATTGGCAAAACTCGCCGCCTTCGGAAGCCGGCAGGCGTTGGCGATCAGTGAGAGAGGGGAGAAGGCGGAGGACGGTGGGCGCAGAGATGTGGGCACGGTTTAACCGTATCCAGCCATCGGAGTCGAGTCTGCATCCCAGCCGTACGGCAGCAGAGCCGAACCTGATATTGGAGTTCCAGTTCGGTCAACCACAACTGCACGGTGACTCTGAAAGAAGTGCGAGCACACGAAATAAATGCACTCTATCCAGCAGCAGAACATCCATTATTTGAGATGGCAAAACGATAAGCTCCCCTGATAGAAGAATTTATTGGCAGTGGCTATGGTCTATTGTTGCACCTAGAGACGCGATGTCGCCGACAGCTACGAACGTCGGCTTGCTCTTGAGTAGCGCAGAGGCGGCCCGCGAGACATGCATGGCGTGCGCATGAGTGACAGGGAGGTATAGCGGGGAAAACAGAAAACGAGATGTACCTGCGAATACCCAGACGCGGTGGCCATGTCGGAGCCCGCAACAGCCTCAGCAACAGTCGCAGGGGGACCAAAGAGGATCTACACCAACAGCCTACTCAGCACACAGACGTAGACAGACGGAAATAGACCACGTACCTGGTAGTCGAACGAGCTCGCCGCCGCATTGAAGTTGGCGTTCACCACCGCATTCTGGAGCTCCTCTGCGCCGAGGCAGCCCGCGGCCTTGAGCGCCGCGACGGCGGCCGAGCCCGCGGCCGTGACTTCCGCGGCCGTCGCGCCCCGCACGAGCACGCAAAAGAGCGTCGCGTCCGTACTATACAGGAGGATGATGATCCGGACGGATGCCGTCGGGGTCGCCGCCGCCTCGAGCGGCGACGTCCCCTTCGTCCACTTCACCGCCGGGCTCGGGTCGAGGTGCGCGGGGAGCACGGCGAGCCCCGGCGCGGACGCGCCCTGCTCCCCGAAGCCGATGAACACCGTCTGCGGCCCGTCGGCCGCGAAGCGGGACTCCCCACCAAAGTCCTTCGAGGCGCCCGCAGACGAGGTCGCAGAAGAGGGGGAGAGCTTCCCGAGGGACTTGTTGAGGAGCTGCTCGAGGGGACCGGCGTCGATGCCAGAGCCGACGACGGCGACGTCGCCAGCGGTGAACGCGGAGGCAGCGAACGCCTGGACGTCCTCGGCGGTAACGTGGGTGTGCGCGGGGCCGAAGAGCGAGTTTCCGAGGCCGGCGCGGAAGGCGAGCGAGACGGCAGTCTCGGCCTCGCACGTGGGCGTGACCCACTCGGAGAGCTCGTAGCCGGTGGGCTTGGGCGAGGCGAGGGGGGATGCGGGGACGTCAACCAAAACCGCCCTGGAGGAGGGAGGAAGAGGGCGGCGGTTGTTACAGACGCACGACGCATGACATGGTACGGGCTACTCACTCCAAAAAGTCGGCCGTGACGGAGGGGTGCTCCCTCGAGAGGCTTGATGAGAGGACGGCACCGCAGAGCGAGTCGGCCTCACGGATGGCGCCCGGCGTCGAACGCTTGTCGGTGCTCTGCGCATATATACAGTGGGCAGCGGGCAGAAGTAAAACGCAGTGGGAGTCGCACCTTGAACGCGTAGTCTTTCAAGACGCGCGCCAGGCCGGGCTTGGTCTCGTACCGGCTGCCGGCCTTGACGAGGAGGGTGACGGACGAGGCGGGCTCGGCCTCGAGCTCCCGGTACCGGCGTCCGACCTGGCGCTGCGTGAGATCGTGGATCTCGACCATCACGTTCGCCGGCGGGTAGCGGACCGCGATTGGCACTGAGGCACGGCATCGGGTCAGATCGCGGACAGACGGAAGCGGGGAGAGAGACCTTTGTCAACTCCGTAGAAGCGGGCGTGCGGGAATAGCTGTGCCACATCGAGCGTCCTGCGGGACGAGTGTGAGCTCTGGGAGCGGAGGCATGGGCTGAGGACGAACCATTGGCCGATGCCAGTGCCGAGATCGAGGACACGGAGCTGCGCGCCAGGGGCAAAGGCGAGGATCTGTTTCACCAGCTGGACAACGGGGCCGCCGACGAGCCTGCGGACGGACTCGTGGGGCCCTTCTTGTCGCTGGGAAGAAGTGGGTGAGTATGCGGGGCACGGGTTCGCGACCGGTGCGGGGGGAAGCGGGGTCCGACAGGCGGGCGCACCTGCTGCTCGTCCGCATCCACGGGCAACGGATACGGACAATTGCCATGAGAATGGAAAGGCCTTTCCCCCCGCTCGGGGAAGTAGTCGGGAATCTTGAAGAGGCCGAGACCTGCCGTAGATTCAACGTGCCCGATCTTTGCGCTCTTCGGGTGAGTTGTTTTGTGCTTCTTCAGCTTCGGCTCGACGCTGAACGTGCTGATCCCGGGCGGTTTGCCTTTGCGATCAGATTTCACATTTGTCTTCTGCGGACACTCACGTGAGAAGTGACCGGCCTTCTTGCAAACGAAGCACTTGCCGGCCGCACTCAGCTCGGCTTTCTCTTGAGCAGAGAGCTGAGGCTGAGTGCTAGTCGGAGACTTGCGCGAATTCGAAGGGTACGTCCGATTCGAACTTCGGTTGTCATTGCGGCGCGGAGCTGACCCGTTCTGAGCCTGAGATCCGCCGTTGCCACTGCTGAAGTTTCCGCGAAAGTTGCGGGGCCGAAAACTTCGTTGCAGGGAAGGCCCGGCAGTACGAGTGTCCGAGGATCGTGCCGTGTCTGGCCGTGCAGGACGTCGCTCGCTCTCAGGAGCAGAAGATCGTCCAACGCGACCAACAACACGCTCTGCGATCTCGACGATCTCAGCCTGTTCCACGACCTCGGCCCAGGACGAGTTTGGGGTAAGATTCCGCATCCATAACTCCTTCTGGACTGACAATCGCAGGCCGTGCCATAGCTTGTCGACGCGTTCTCGAGGCGAGACAAATCCGACCATCAAGAACAGGCCTTCAAGCTCGTGCACAAAGTCTCGTACAGTACGATCGTTCTGCTTGCATTTATTGAGCTTATCCTGCATTTGCAGACGATAGTCTACTGGAAAACAGTAGTTGAATAGGCCTTCAAACAGACGTCGAAGTGTCCAGTCGCGCGGTGAAGAGGACACGGATGTTACAAAGAAGCTATATGCGCGTCCCTTCAAGAAGTTCGAGACGTGAGAAGGTAGCATCTCGGGCTTGATATCGAACGCTGACAAGTATTCCACAGTTTGTCTCATGAACTTATGGAATACCTGTGCGTCGGCCTTGCCGTCGTACGACTCAGGTTTCTCTGGCTTGAGCCGGAGCTTCTTTCGATGGCGGGGCTGCGTCGTCGCGTCAGTCGAGCTAGAAGAGCCCGAATCCGACGACGAAGACGAAGGCGGGGCGCCATCGCGATTACCCTGGGTGCGTTGCGGGCGCGTCGGATGACCCTTCGCTAATCTCCTATCACTAGATGAGCTGGAGTCGGACGGTTCGCCAGCCGTTCCGCCTCCAATGAGGTCATCGAATGCGCGTCCAAGGTAACTTCCTGGCTCGATCTGCGCGACCGGTCGTAGGGACGCGCCGCGTGATTGAGCCGCGGGCACGCTGTCCTTGGGCATGCCTAACTCATCTAGCTCGATGGTTCGTCGCTCCGTCTTGGGCTTTTTAGAACGCTTCCGTGAAGAGTTCTTAGCCGTGTCAATACCACGGAGGTCATTGAGCTCTTGTAGCACCTTATTGTGCTGCTTCATTAGTGCAGTGTACATAGGTACTGTTACTTCGAATAGACTAACATTCGAGCTACCCACAACAGGTTGAGTAGCAACCTCCGGAACGGGTAGTGATACTGTCGAGGAGGAGAGACGTCGCATGCTCGCCACGCTAGGGTTAGGCGACGATTGCGTCTGCTCCCTCCACTGGTTGATGAGGTCTCGCCGCGCGAGCTCGTCATCGTGATCGGGGCTGTTAGCGCGAGCAGCCTTGATGCTGCTATACAGCTCGTACTCGCGCTTCTGAGCCTCCGGATCGAGTTCTTCGTGAGGAATGCCGGCCGCGCCCCAATTGCGCGGGTCCACGGACTTTCCTTTCAACTCAGCAGGGATCCGAGAAGGTCCCTCGCCGCGCGACTCGGTAGACACAGTCACGGGCGGGACCGCATGCTGCATGGCATCGTGACGACGCCCAATGCGCAGGAACTCGTCCGTTGTCAGCATTTGGGACGCACGCTCAACAGCGTTCGCCTGCTGCGCGGACAGCTGAGGTCGAGGCGCCTGAATGGTGGGCGCAGGGGATGGTGAGGTCGAAACGCGGAAAGGGTTCCGCCGGGAGCGGCGCTGGACCTGAATCCACGGGCCGCCTCCATCGTCCTCATTGGGGACCGTCTCCGCAGTGTTGTACCGCAATGCAGGAGACGAGGTGGAGAACTCACGTTCGCCAACAGGGTCATGGTAAACAGATATATTTGTGGGTGACCTAATACCTGACCGTCCATCCGAGGGCGGTTGATTGGTCGACTGGAGACCCGCGGCGACTATATCCGCATATGTAAGTGAAGCGGAGCGACCGCCCGAGCTGGTAGCACCAGCAACGGGAGTAACGGACGTGCTGGTAGTACCAACAAACGTCGCGTGTGCACCGGTAGCACCGGTGACTGACTGGGGTGCCTGACTAGTAGCACTAGTCGTGATAGGCGGGGCGTCGGACAGGCCGACGCCGACAGCAGTAGCACTACTGTCCATCGCGCGTTCCGAAGGCGCGGGAGTGAGAGGCGAGCCCGCCAAGCTACGAGGGAGAGGCATCTCAGCCTCGGGGATGGTAGTAACTTGGGACTCACCTGGTTCGACGTCGAGGGGTACCGTCACCGGGGCTGTCGTAGGGTCGGCAGCGCGAGGTCGGCGGAGGTTGTAACGGGAGGAGGATGTGGCCATATCGAGGGGGAGAGGTTGACTAGTCGTGTTTGAGGGGTGATTGTTTCCGAGAGGATGACGAGTTGATCAGACTCGTTGTTGCCCAGTCGGAGAGAGAGGGGAGAGTAGGGGGAGAGAGATGTAGAGGGTGGTAGAAGAAGACGAGATGTCAAAAATATGTCGCGTTCGCGGTCGGGAAGAGCCGGTGACGCGACACGGATAAGGAAAGAGGTTCACACGAGAGAAGACAGGTGTAAGTCTTGGTTCTGAGGAACACTGGGGGTCGCCCCCTACATCTGTGCTACTATATATACTAAGAGATACCGTAGGTAAGAATCAGAAGGAGTCATATGTACGGTATCGGAGTCAGCTCGGGAGAGCTGAAGAAGGAAGCGGAGAGGAATATGAGTACGAGGTGAGAGGCGCCCTATCAGGGAGCGTGAGAATGATCATGTGAGCGCTCACCGCCTCACTAACGCCCGCGCGATCATCTCCGCGCGCGTTTGTCCTCGTCTTCGTGCATCTCATCTATTCCGCCTCGCGCACCCTTCGTTATCCGCCCGCGGATACCACAGGATAACCGCTTCAGCGCAGCGCATAGAACCGTCAGGGTGCGACGCATGTGAACGCACCGCGGCACCTGCCGTGTGCCCTCGCGGTCTACACCGCGCGTACGCGGTCGGCGCCGCCACTGGCGCTTGCGTGCACGACATACGGCCCGCGATACCCGGACCGTCCCGGCTGGCGACGATTTTCATCTCGCACTGGCTGTCCTTCTCCTCCACGATGTCATCCAGACTGGCACCCTAGCTGTGCGATCATAAACGCTGTTCCGCTTCACCTACCCTCCACAACTGTGCTCTAGTCTGCCGGCAATGGCGATCCAGACCTCAATCCCCTCACAGATGTCCTCTCGGTGCCTTCCGTAATTTCCCGAAAATCTTGGTCACCACCCTCCTAGGGACATACCTGACGATCCCCCCTGCGGCGGTCTCCGTCATCTCGTCGCCGAATTCGATCACAACGCGTATGCGGAAGGCAGCAGAGGCGCATACCTCGCATGCATCGACCTTGGCTACTTGCTTGACCTGCTCGTTGGCCACGGTGTCGTCTCGCGGGACACCTTGGTGACGTTGGACATGCACATGCACATGTACCCCGGTGTTCGTCGACCGTGGAATGGCATCCACGCCCAACCTCGAGCACCTCTCCGTCCTCCTCAGTCATTCTCCCGAAGACCGGCCCACTCTCGATGATGCCACACGTATGCACACCATCGTTTCCGGACCCCTTGTTTCGTTATTGACGCGCTCTACTCCCAGATCAAAACACTCGTCGTTCCTTGGGCGCGCTCACCGGCTGTCCGCGCCTACGCACCCTCGCCATCATCTACGGCGAGCCCGAGTCCCCTTCCATACGCTCCTGGTGTCACAGGACCCTCACCGACGCGCTCCCCGTCCTCCTCGCCGACCACTTCTCCAGCACGCCTGCCCCTCATCCCGCCCTCGAGACTCTCAAGCTCAAGACCACGTACTGCGCCATCGACCTCGACCGTGCGTGGTGGAGCGCTACCCACCGTTCTGGATGGTGCGGGTGCGGGCGCTCCTCTGACGGAGGACGATGGATTGCTCGAAGTGCCGCGCCAGGTGTCGAAGCGCATCTTGGCGCCGTCTGCGACCCGGGGCACGGACGCGGACGTCGATGCGGAGTTCATGTTCGGAGAACCTCCCCGGAACGGAGCGATCGACGAAGAAGGCGAGGTGGTGGGAGGCTGGTGGACCCGTCGGATCAGCAGAGGGGATCGTCGGGAAGAGGCGACGAAGGCGAGGGCGAGAGTACCTGAAACAGGATTCTGCGGTGCGTTCTCGTGAATCGGCTGCTTGTTTCTTCTTGCTGATTCGCTCGTTCTGTCAGGCTCGGACGAGTAACCTCGTCACTGAGCAAATTCTAACGGTCGGCCCCGTTAGGCTTTCCTCTGCATGTCTAAGTGGTACCTAGGCGCATTAAGGTCCTTCCGACTCACCTGGCTTCAGGTTTGCGAGAAAGCACCATTACCGGCGCTTTCGACTCTTTCCTCCGTGCCGGCTTTCTGGCCTGTCCCTGCACTTCGACGCCTGATCGCTCGGCGCTCAGCATCGTCCATCTCCCGTGTATGACCTTTTCGACAGACTGGGAAGGCATCCGACCGAAGCGCGACGCGGTCATGTACACTTGAAGCTCGATCGAGCTTTGAGGCACGTTACATCACACACACGCGTGTGACTGCGACTGGAACGGACCACTGGTGCTCGTCGCCGTCCTTGTCGCACGACGATCTCTTGAGATCGACCACTAGCCATCCAGCAACGCAGGAAGCCGCGATGTCCATTCACGCTGTGAACCGCGTCCAGTGCCGTCTCGCCTGGGACGGCAGCGATCCCCAGCGCGCGATCCCCAGCGCGCGATCCCCAGCGCGCGATCCCCAGCGCGCGATTCCCCCGCCATCCGCATCGATAGTCTGGGCACACGTGTCCTCAACGTTTCCAATGGCCAGATCACCCCGCTGTGACTGCAGCCACCCGCGCCTCTCGTCTTCTCTCACCTCGACCAGGCCAACGGTCCCGTGCACTTCGCTGACGCTGTCGACGTCCTCTACATCGTGAGAGCCGAGGTCACGCCGGGGAAGGACTGAGCGCACTCGACGATCCTTTCGATACGCAGCATATTTCTGGTGGATCAATGCTGTTCCTCCTGGAGGTCGAGACTGCGTTCTTCTCTATCGGGGTGAGTCATCACTCCATTCACCGTTACTTTCGTGTCTCACGAGACGAGCACCGCCCACGGCGCGACGTCCTCTCCCTCTCGCGATTGCACTCGTGGACGTCCTGGTACGTTCTCTTATCGCCTCATGATACATTTTCTTTATACCACACGTTCCCACATCTCTTCGTCTCCTCTTCATTTCTCTGTATTGGCCCCCTCCGTCCATCTCCACGCTCTCTCTCGCCTCTTCGGCAGCGTCTCCTGTGTCTAGGATTCACATTTTGCTTCAGAGCTGTACGTTCTTCTTTACTGTCTTCAGTACAGTCTCTTCTTTTAGATACATCCTCACGCCCCGCGCCGTATGTATTAGGTTCATAGTTCACTTCCCGGCTATTCTCGCATGTCATCCACCTTCGCCTCGATTTCTTCTCGCCACACCTCGACCTCGCGCACGCCAACGCCCTCCCTCGCATCCTTTATCATATCGCCAGCGCCCTTGTGCGCAAGCTCGTCTTTCTCGCGTCCGTTCCTCCGTCCTTGTCCACTTCGCGCGCCACGCGTTCGCTCACTCCGCCTCTCTTCGCGTTTGCCGTCCGCGCGCCGCGTCGTTTCTTGCTTCGGTTTTCACCTCACTCGATCTCCTGAGCTTCGCGCTTACGCTCTCTCACTCTTTCGCCCTCACCTCTGTCGACACCCCAGAGTTGGCGTCACATCAGCGGGTCACAGCATCGTCACGACCGAACGTTCCATGCGCGATGCTACTGTCGGCTGGCTCTCTAAAACATGAACGAACGACGCGCAGTTATATTCTCAATAGGACGTGCTCTGCATCTCGTCCCACCAAACCTGAACCTATATGTACAGCAATCATAAATCCAGTCTTTCCACCCTCACTTGCAGCGTTTCTCTACCCAAAGGACTAGCGGAGAACGATAACACGACTCCCCAGGCCCCACTCTGCGCTCGGCGCTGCACTGGCCATGGTCCGCCCATGCCGATATGATCCGTCTTGCACGAATGCGCATCCTCGGTGGCGGAGGTTGCTTTAAAGGGCCAGGAAACACGAAAGGTGCAGAAGTGTTGTCGGCGCAGTACGTCTGGACCTGGCGTATTCGTCGCAGTTTGAGATGGCAGCGAGGTTAGCCTAGATGAGCGCAGGTGGTTGTCGATGGGGGACTCGCCGTGAGAGCATGTCCCAAGAACGACAGTCAACGTATGAAACACGTTGCTGAAACAAAGGGAGATGTTTTCGGTAGAAGAAGGCGACGGCAGGGTGCTTGCTTCTTCGTCGAAGATGATGGACTGGTCCCTGAGCCGGAGGAAGTCGCGAAAGGCAAGGTGAAAGGGGGAGCTGGTAGTGGTGGCTCCGCAGAAGCGCCTCAGCGACCCCATCTCTGCGGTTTCGCCCTCGGAGAGGTCACCTGTGTACGGCTGGAGGGCTACAGCGTGCAGGTCTGTCATCGTCCAGCCATGTGAGTCGATGGCCGTGCTTGGTTCCCACATACACACAACAGGTTTCTCCGTGGGCTGGTAGAGCAGAGCAGCGCCATCATTGGATCTCTCGTCGTCCACCCTTTGGAGCAAGAGGAAGATGGGCCCGTCAGGTTCTCTGCAGAATAAGTCGACGAGGACGAATCTATTCGTATCATCCAGAGGCAGAACGGCCGCGTGGAGCTCGATCCCACCTGGCGATGCGGAGAACGTGGGAGCACGGAGTTCTGGGATCACGCTTGCAGCCAAGTCGTGCTAAAATGGTCGTCAATGTAGAACAGCGTAGAATGATATCCATACCAGCGTACCTCGTTTTGTCCTGTCTGAGATCGTGCACTTGGGTCGTAGAACACAGAACGAGGGTTGAGCGAAGGCTGGAGGGGGAGAAGATGACGACGGGTTTGACTATGGGGATTTCGCTGGAGGTACAATTTGAGGCGATCCAAGTCGTCCACATACAGTCGTTCTCCCAAGAGAAAAATCGAAGGATCCCGCGAGGTCTTCGAGATTTCCATGAGGAGCCGGCAGAATGCGAGCCGCCCTTCGCCGTAGAGTGTCGGCATGTTGACCCCGAAAAGCCCGAACAGGCTGTAGGCGGCGTCTTCCGGCCTCGTGGTGCCCCGACGCGCCGCCCAGGAGATGCGCGTCGCGATGCTCGCATCGGTAAACGGGCTCTCGAAGCGGAGGACCGCCGTGGAGATCTTGGTTGCTTTTTCTAGGCGATCGGCGAGCTCGTACTTGGTGCCCAGACATATCCACTCCTTGGAATAGAACACGAGCATGCGGGACGCGATCAGCTCTTGGAGAGTCCAGCCCCGCCAGTGCCAGAGACTGGTTTGGAAGGCGACCAACATCTTGTCTGAATCAGTGTCTGAGTATTCGACGTCGCTGAGATAGACGTAGCAGATATCGGAGAGGGCGTAGTACCGGAACATGGAATTGATGCCTTCCGAGAGCTCGGAACTGCTCTCCTTGTTGATACAGCACGTGTCGACCCAAGCGTACTCATGCCTATGCTGTTCGGCGAGCTCAAGGAATGATCGAACTTTTGCAGTGAGGCGATCGCGTGGGTTGAACCATGGTGGTGACGACCGATGTGGCTCAGCACTTCCTTGGACCGGTGCAGTAGTAGGGGGAAGGGGACTTGTATCTGAATCTGTCGAGCGGCCTTCGGTCTCGTATGTCAGTGGTTGGGAAGAAAGAAGAGCTTCAATCACACTGACCGCCGGGCACGAATTCAGTACCGGATGCTCGCCTATGTTGGGTATTCCCTTCGGCATGATCGCTAACAACGGGGGGGACTCGGTACGGCGCGGTGGGGGCAGGTATAGTGGTAACTCGAGCTTCTGCATAATCCGGGATTCCACTCGATGGAGAGCATCTTCTAAGTCTCTGCGAGTCACCGCTTCTTCAGAGACTGCCTGGGAGATGATAGATCGGAGCTCAGCTCGGGACAAGTGAAGCTGTTCTTCCGGGGAGAAGGGGCTGTTGGATTCTTCGTTCAGCTTTTGAACCTTTTGAAACGTCTCTTCTTCTTCTCCCCAGGTGTGCGACAGGATAGCATAGCCTCCAGGAACGTCTTCGGGTTGGGGAAAGAAGACGAGGTTCGCGCGCGCGGTGCCCAGGAGCCACATCGCTTCTATCACGAATATTAGCACGGGAGTGTTACGCAAGGGTAGGCACTAATACCGGGTTCGATCCGAGGCGCAGGATTCGCGGGAGGAGTACAGACACTTCGGGAGCATGAGCAAATGCGATACACATCATCGGAAGAGCGCACGTACGATGAGAGTATCCGCGACAGTGATTGCGATGGTCACCCTGATATAACAAAGGGAGTCGATGGCTGGGAGGAGACGCAAGGTAGACGGGAGGAGACGTCGGATGGGTTGAGGGCGATGCGGAAGAGGCCAAGTTGCTGCGAGAGCGACCCCAGCCTCATACGCCCACCGTACGGTCCACCATGCGGAACACGCATGCGATAGCGTTGGAGCGCCTCCGATGCTTCTCCTGAGAAACAAAGGTGGACATAGAGTGGGCCGGCTTCGTGCTCCCAGGGCGAGATGACGTCCTTCCCTGCTACGAACGTGTCAGACTCTGATATCGTGCATTTTCGCCATTGGGCGGAGCAGTACATGATGTGCCAGTCCGTTCTCGGAGATGAACACCTCTGAGATAAATGAGTCAGTTGCGCAATCCCCGGCATGCACAAGACATACCGTTGCAACAGGCAAGACAGCCGCAGTGCTTCGCCGCGTTCGACACGCGTTGTGGACAGAATTATCGCCCCGGAGAGGTTTGCGCTGATGATGTTCGGACCCTCAGTCGGTCACAGGAGCACGCGCGTCCGCCGCGTGGTCGCGTGGCCGGTTGACGTTCGACACGCGTTCCGCGGCATGTCTGTGAAATGCGGACTTGATACCAGCCCACAGGCTCTGACGCTCACTTGTGGACTCTTCTGGCTCGTTGCGGGGGCCAACTGATGCCGGCTTCCCCAGCGTCTCGCCCGCTCTCGACCGCTTCAGTGGGCGCTGAAATCCGGATATCATACACACGCGGATGACACAGTTACTGGGACTCCTCAGGAGAGCCCAACTCCCTGACGGAAGCTTTCGCCTGGCATCTTCCCAAGATTTCCCGTCGTCGACGGACAGATGGCATCTGCACCCGATTGAATCGACTACTCTAAATCAACGCAATCACTCGCAGCTATCCCTAACGCGAGTCTCCATTCAGGCGTGTAAGTGAAGCCTCTGAGCTCTCAGTACGGACTCATCGGCGCTATGTGTGTTGACGGACCGGCCTGTTACTTGTCAGAGGTCGACGAGAAGTCTGGTGTTAAAGCGCTAATAGTGGTCGTATTACTAGATGATATCCCGGCGTGCGTCCGCAAGTTCTCCATTGTCAGCCCGCGACCCATCACACCGGCACGCCAAGTCCGCGTCCCAGTCCTCCGACCCGACGCCCTTGTTCACCACGAAGAGCTGATGGGGGTCGTACCGCGCCTTGACCTTCTTCAGCGCCGGGTAGTTCGACCCGAAGAACACCTGCCGGAAGTCCGGCTCGAGCGTCGACGCCTGCGATCGCGCACGACAGTCAGCCTCCTCGCCTGCGCGCGCCCCGCCAATGACGCTCACCTCGTTGAAGTAGCAGCCCGAGTCCGGCGCGAGCTCGCGCAGGACCCGGGTGCTCGCCTCGATCCGGCCCATGATCGTGTCGACCTCGTCCGCGGTGTCCCCCTTGCTCTCCGTCCAGACCTCCCCAACGATGACCTGCGCGAGCGCGCCGCGCCACGCCGGGCTGAGCGCCATCGCGTCTGGGGCGACGCCCGCCGCTTCGCCCCCGGGCGCGACAAGACTGCCAGAGATCGCCACAATCACAATCAGCGCCGCGTTCCACGGAGCGCACACCACGGGGACAGCGACGCACCAGTACTCGATCTGCGCGTCCATGCCGAGGAGCGCGTCCGCGACGCGCGCCGGGTCCGCGTCGATGAGCGCGCGCGGCAGGAGGCGCGAGCCGAGCGCGGTGGGGTTCCCGACGGACCCGACGGCGGCGGTCGCGTTGAACCCGAGCGCGTTGTACCACGCCGCCCAGCTCGCGAACGGCACCGTCGTCGCGCGGGAGAGGACGAGCGCGGGGTCCTGCGCCGCGGCCGCGCGTGCGGCGGCGAAGACGGCCTGGACGCTCGCGTTCGCGGCGGCGAGGTCCGCGGACGGGCTGATGATGAACGCGCTGAAGTTCCACGCGGCCGCGGTGGGGACGACATTGGCGTAGCCGCCCCAGCCGGCGTCGTAGAGTGCTCCCTGGGCGGCGATGAACGCGCCGAAGGCGTCGCGCGCGCCGGGCGAGGGCACGTTCGTGCCGAGGGTCGCGAAATTGAGGAACGCGGCGAGGATCGGCGGGTTCTGGTGGGTGCGGTACGTTGCGGAGATGACGACGGCGAGGGAGCCGCCGCCGCCACCACGGAGCCCCCAGAAAAGGTCGGCGTTCTGGTGCGCGGAGGCGGTGAGCTCGGTGCCGTTCGCGGAGACGACGGTGATCTCGAGGAGATTGTCGACGCCTGAGGTTTTACAGAAACGCGTGGTGAGTAGGAGCTCGACATGCAGGCGGGAGGCCTTACCGAGGCCGTAGTTCGGGGAGAGGGCGCTGTGGCCTCCGCCAAGTAGCCAACCACTCGCGGCACCGACTGTACCGCCCCTAGTTAGACCGCCGATCATGGTGCGGTTGACGGCCGTGACGGCGTCGTAGGCCTCATGCCACTGTACACCGGACTGGAGCGTAATAGCTTTCGTGGGTCGTCACGAGATGTAAGCTCATTTCTGAAGGGGTGCAAGCGCAAAAACGTACCAAGATCGTATGTCTCGTTGCTCGGAGCTCCAGCGGGGGAAAACGTAGGGTGCACTGTGATATTCTTCATGTGGTGCGTCCAGATGAGGAAACCTCCGCGACCGTCGCTTCGTCCCAAGTAGTCGTGTCTGGCCGAAACAAAGCACCGTCAGATAATTGGATCATAGAAGACGCGGAACGTAGGGATACATACCCAGTACTCTTGACGACGACCTTCAGGTTATGTTTCGCCGCAAACTTCACGGCTGCTTGGACATCCGCTGCGCCGCGGGCGTCGACCCCGACGACAGGCACGCTCCCTCGGCCGCACGGCACGCCAAGCGTAGTGTTCAAGTAGCAGGCGTCGATCGTACGGTTCGGGAACCTGAAGGTCTCGAACTGGGTGTTCTGCTGGGCTCCGCTCTGGTCTGCGCGCCACACAGCGTTGTACCAACTGCTGTTGGCCTCGGCACATGCCGGAGAATCCGGGCCGTCGATGTAACAGGGAGTGGCAGGGGGGATGGGACGAAGGAGCGGCTGAGAGAGCCTTGAAGCGAGCGCGGAGAAGTCGGAGTCGGAGGGCCAGCAGGGATGGCCAAAGAGGCAGCGACAGTTGTTGGAGGAAACTGAAGCGGCAGTCGCCAAGCTGGAGAACGACGCTGCTAGAGCGAGGAGCGGAAGAATGGCCTGGATCTTCGACATCCTTGAAGAGGCTCGCCGTGACTTGGTATGTTGGAACGCCGACCGCGACTTCGAGCCAGCTAAATAGCTCTTTGTGCTGCGGAGGAGCGGGTCCGCGCTCCGTGACCTCGTCAGCCAGTATATCCTGATCCCATCATCATCGTTTGTCATGGTGGTCAGTTCAGGTGTGGCTGTTGCTGTTGAAGCTAGTATCAGGTCGCTTATTTGGCGGTGATGGGAAGTACGCACTTACTTCAGGGGGATGGTGGAGGTGGCGTTCCGTGCAGAGGTCGTACTTCATGAAGACATCGAAGTACTTGAACACGTAGGTGAGGGAGAATGCGCCCATAGCAGTTCTCGCAGGGCGCGACATCATTGTACGCGAGGACCGTGCGCCAAGCAAACGCGTGTAAGAGCCAAGCTGGGCTGACCGCAACAAGCGCGCGGGCGTCGGAAGATGTGGGACCTGGGTAAGTACATAATGTTCGCAGAGGGGAACGCGAGCCGTTGGCGTGAAATACGCGAGACATAGCCCGCATATACGCGAGGTGCGCGAGTGCCCGCCGCGATGAAGGCAGCGCGCGCCGCGCACGATGGCCATCGAAAGGCAGCTTCGTCGCAGCGACTATGTGCGGACTCGCTGCAGCGTGCGGATGTGGTGGCTTGGGTGACGACAAAGTCGAGGATGGCCCTCGTCCGACGGCTCGTGTGTTCGCGAGCCGCCGCAAAACCCAAGTATCTGGAGGTCGAGTCTGCGATGTCTCGGACCAGGTCCCGACAAGAGGCGGACGGGAAAAGTGTTTCCAGGGCATCCAATGTGGGGGCAGGTCCTTGCTGCACGGGTACGAGGGTCCGGACATACATGACGGCTCACCGCAAGTGCAGCAAAGCGGCAATAGGCGACCAACACGCGACGACAAGGGGGTGCCTATACATATGTATATTGCGATTCGCGAAAGAAGAAGACCGCTACACGTGTACCACATACCGGGTGCGCCTGCCATCCTGCTCCGTCCCCTCCACAGCTCATACACAAGACCCATCTCCATCCAGGATGATCTCCCGCCTGAGTGTTGGTAGGGGAGATGCAGCATAGCTGTTGTTGAGAGTTCAGGGGTTGAGGATGATAGCGAGGCGTAGGCAAGTCGTCCACTGAGGGTACAACAGCGAGGATAACCGTGAAATGTGTGGGGCGGGGCGGTGATGGAAAGTGGACAGTAAAACAGGCCAGGGCCCGGGTTTGATGGGAGGACAAGACGGGCCGGGAAAGGTCGGGCGAAGTCGGGCGAAGTCGGCTTCCGTCTCGCCGCATCGCCACCGCGCCGGTCGCCACTGGGTGACTGGTGACCGGTGCCCTTGCCCTCGATCTCTCATGCCCGTCGTGCGCGCATTGCCCCAAGTGTCCCATCCTTCGTATGTAGGTCTTGCCCCTTGCAAGATGGAGGAGTGCAGGTCTGTCAGCCGTTCGTCGAGGGGTCCAGCATGGGGTGCCAGTCCACTGGTCCCGTTTCGGTAAGCCTTTTGCTCTGAAGAACATCCGCCAGGGTCTTACCGTATTGAATGCAACCATCTATGGGGGCGGAAGCCCATAGGAAACCGGAGACTGCGTCCATTGCATGTGTTCGACGACCCAGTGAGTGGCTAGTTCGTACCTTCTCCGAGATCTGGAGGAACGGGACGTGTGAGCGATAACCCCGGTGGTCCATGGGACGATGGGAAAAGGTGCGTACCAGTTGAAGATCTATCTCGGAGATATTGACGGAGACTCATTCGAACTCATGAGTGGCGTCGTGGGGCTTGGTGCCCCGGCTTTTTTCGAGCCACGGTGATATAGGGTGATATGCGCGGCCGATAAATGACACTCCGTATTAGCTTTGAAACCGTAGATTGCCTCCAGGCCATCAGTGAATCATGGCGGACGCCAGGTCTCGCGTCCCTGGCAAAAGGCTTCTCGCAGTGTCGAAGTCGCAGACGTCAACAACGGGAGAAAAGCCAATACCGGAGCAGCTCTCCTGTTCCGCTCGCCATATTCAGTCATGAAACGATGCTGATTCACGCTTACTCAGGAACGATAAAAGCCCCGCGATGACTGAGTGGCCGCAGATATCTGCACAGTCAGTTGTCGTGGGTGGCTCGAGATGCGAACGACTGCCTCTACGCGCGCAGAGCAGATCTGCAACGAGACGAGCGCGGTCCGAATTGAATCTCGGAAGGTGATGTCACGATCGTGTTTCTCCTTCACATGTACATCTCGAAAGTCCGATTTCTCGCAAAGCAGGTGGGACGGCAGAGCAGATAGGACGGAAATTCCATCTCATCTGCTCTGCGTGCACAGACGTGTCCGTGAAGGTTCGGTCCTCGAGACATCCGCTGCCTTTGGCCAAACTCAACGAACGTATGGGAGTTTCACCTGGCACGCTCGAGAGCAGAATTACGACATGGCTCGTATGGAAGCAGAGCTACATCGAGACGACCAAGTGGAGTTCTAGACCACCTTCCCAGCCGTTTCGATGCACAAAAAACTGGGCCTACGGGAGGTAACATACGAGACGACGCACCGGACAGGGACTCCGACATGCTTGTCGAGGTCGGCTTAAACGAGCCCAGTCAGCGGAGAGGTTTCATCCAAGAAGGTGTCGAGGTGTCGCTACGACGATGGAGGTCACCGCCATCGCTCCATCTCTGCACGCGGGTGCGATGTGTTTGAAGCGCGAGAGGCAGGATTGAGGGAGTGAGGCTAGGTGGAATGTTTGTCATGGGTGGGCAGTTGTCGGCGACCACTCGGTGCACTTGTGGTCGTTGTGGTATCGGTGGCCTTTGGTGTCCGAGGTCGAAGGAGGGAAGGCGTGACGCGTCGCTTTGTGGGCGCGGAGGTCATGTTGAGCGCGTTAGTTGAGAGCATGAGTTTGCGCGTGTTGATCTAAGCCAATTGACGCCCAGCTCCCTCCCCTGCCTCACGCGCGCACCGCCTCTCGCTGCTCCTTTCGCGAACGCATCCACTGGGACGCGACCCATTAAGTAGATATCGACCATGCATGTACAGTGCCTTCATCTGGAAGCACAATGCCGACCCGCTCGTCTACGCAGACACGCATGGACGGACATCGCGTCCCGGCAGTCAAACGCCGCATCCCGTCCTCAATTCTCTTTCATCGCGGTCGGACCTTCGTGAGGCCCTTCCCCCACAACCTCCACCCCTGCTGATCCGTGGCGGAACAAGCAACCGGCGACGAAGACGGAGGAGAAAGCCAAGCTTCCACCCGCGGCGACCAGCGTCATGCGCGGCTTCGCCCTAACGAAGTGCAAGGTTGGAGACTGCACGCGTACGCTCGACCCAGCGAAGGACCCGCAACATTTGGCCGACCACCACGAGGCCCTCCGCGTGGGCGTTCTCGAGTTCTACCCAGCCCTAAGTGCCGCTTTGGCAGGTGCAACAGCCAGTACGCGGTCAAGTCGTCCGTGCGTCGGCATCGCGCACGTGGTGCGCAAGTCCCGGTGACCGATTCCCGGGTGTGAGAAGTGGTATACGCGGTCGAAGGAGATCCGGGAGCGGGCAAGGGGCCGGAAGCCGCGCGCACAGCGGATGAGCAGCACTAGGATCGTGAGTGTCCGCTTGGGTGCGCTTGTGCTTCGAATACTGACCTTTGTATTCCAGTCGCTCGTTTCGAGATTTTTCGTTGAGGACGAGGTGACGAAGGAAGAGGCGAAGAAGAAGGAGGCCAAGGCCAAGCCGCTTAACCAGAAGCGTTTGAAGCTGGCCTGGACGAGCGACGTCTTGCCCTCTTGGATCGCGTTGTACTTGTATCTGTGTTAGTTTCGAATGTTATGAAGCTGATTTATCGTGATGACTATGCTTCATGACTTGGTACAACCTAGAGATAGGCATCCGCGCGCACGTTGCTGGATAATCGCGAAAAATCAGAGCTCTCGAAGTAGCCCCCATGCGCATTTGGACTGCGAGGCCACCCTCGAGGATAATAGCACGCTCTGTTTGCAAATACATGTAGATGACATTGGGTGGAGAGCAACGGACTGGTACATTGAAACAGTGAACATTGCAGCTGGGATAAAAGAACTATATGTCAATTAATAAGGATACACGCACAGCGACGATGATTCCCAAAGATCAACGCAAGCAACGTCGGCGGAGCGAAGGCAAATGCAGGGAGGGGAAGATTCGTCAAGGCGGAAGGGTGGAAATGTACGGTACAACTGTATAAGTATATAACGTCGGGCACTGGTGAAAAAGAAGTCAACGGACGATCAACCATGCCAACGAGGCTACTCACTTATCATCCGAAGAAGCGCATTTCGTGCGCCTGCAGTACTACTTCTTCTTCGACGGCCCGGAGCCACGCCGAGTCTTCTTCCTCACAGCGGGCTTCTCGCCAACGGGCACATTAGACTTCTTCTCCAGGATCTGTTGCGGCTTCATCTTGTGGAAGTCTTGGAGGTGACGATCAACACTGTGCAGCCGGGTGAACGTCTTCGCGCAGCCCGGGAACGGGCAGCAGAACTCCCGGCTGAGGTGGGACTCCTCATGGTGTCGTCGCAGGCTAGTGAAACTGTAGAAGCCGCTATCGCAGATCTCGCAGGGCCACGGATTGGACCCCCCAGCTTTCTTGCGGCTGATCTTCTTCGAATTGGCCTTGCTCCACGCCTCTGCCGCCGCGGTTGCCTCGGGCTTGATTCTTTGCCCGGCCTTCGGCGCCTTCGCGCCTTCCTCTGCGCCATAGTGATGTCCGAAATGGTTGCGCATCCCATCTTGGTCCTTCGCGTAGTTGATGTGGTCGCAGCCGTCGAACAGCACTTCGAGTCGGTAAGTATGCAGCGCTCTGGGTCGATGGTGACTGTCATGTCATCGGTCCGTGTCGTTCCCTCGGGACCTTCATCTCGAGGCGTCTGTGACTGCACCTATAGCCCGTGTTCAGAGGCGGTCCTGCGAGACGGAGACGAAAGCCACTCACCGTGCGTCTGACGAGCAATCTGTGGTCTGCTCTTTGCCCTTCGACGCACTGGCGGCCACAGAAGCACGCGTCTTGCGTCGCGCGACACCCTTGCCCTTGCGGTCCGTCGGCTCTTCGTACTGTTTTCATCGTGAGTGACCTTGAAGGCGCGTCGAGTAGCAGAAACACTCACCTCGCCGTCGTCCGAAGCTTCGTCGGGACTGCCAACCTCGTTCTCCTTGTCCTCGTCATCGTCCTCGGGGGCCTCCCAGTCTTCGGCCGTAATACTGGACGTACGGCCTGTCGACGGGGCGGTCTGGCGAGACGAACCGGCTTCGCTCGCGGAGCCCGCTCCGGCGGTTGGATATGCACGGCGTGCAGTTCTGCGGGGGATGTTCGTACCAACGTCGATGAGAGTGTTCCGGGCACGCTTGGCGTCCCGGTCTTGCTCCTCGTCGTCCGACTTCCGCTTGCGCTCCCGTTCTTGCACGGCGATCGTCGCAGCAGCAGGAGAGGGCGCGGACGCTTGATCTATCTTGTGAGTGGACGAGTCCGTCGACGGCGCAGGGGATGAGGGGGAGGGGGTTGTGATGTGCGTAGAGGCAGTCGCGTCGGATGACAGAGGAGAAGTGTATGCGCACGCGAAGGGATGGATGATGGAGAGAGAGAGCGTTGAACGGGCGCAGTCGGTGGTCTAGCTCCACCCGCGGGTATCGTTGCTTCCGGCCGGTTGGGAGCCTCGACGCGCTCTTCGATGGGATTTGATCTTGAGACAGTGTGAGCAAGCCTGGCGATTGGCGATGCGTGAACGGGGTGGGGTGGCTTCACCGGGGCGGGGGAGTGAATGTCAGGTATGAGCTACCGGAAGGGCAGGCAACATACCTGTAGTTGCATCTCGACCCTGCCCTGTCCAGCGGTTGCATTCTAAGAATGTACCCAGGCCTGTCTCATCTGGGAGCGGGAGGAGGTCGTCGAGGTCGAGGGAGCTGGTGTACATGGCGAGGTCTATGGGCTCGTCCATTGGCTCATTCCACCACTCATTCCCATGCGCGTTGCTCTCGTCGTCCTGTGGGGGATGCATCATGCGGCCTTGAGGTACTGGATAAGTGCGGTTGTGTAGGGAGGAGGTAGGAGTGAAGGAGAGGATGAGACGCGGGAGGGTTGGCGTCTAGAAACTGAACGGTCACGCGGCCAGTAGATAACGCGCTCCGATCAAAGACGCGTTTGTGTTGTGGCATGGCTACATGAAAACAAGGCCAATGGATGCTTCAATATGGTGAGAAACACACAAAAATGGGCCACATCGTTATGGTTGTGGTCGACAGGTGGCACATCGAAGACGAAGTACCCCCTCGACCTCTCCTCGACCTTCCTCGACGATGTTCCGGGATTTACACGCCGTCGCATAAATCACCCTGTCTTTGCCTCGGGAACGTCAGAAATCTCCATAAGAACGCAATTCCCTCCTTTCCACCATCTGAACAGCCCCAAAGTTCGGCCGGATGCAGATGGTTCATACAGAAGACCTCGATCGAGTACGCAGCGTATCTGTCAATCTACCGGACGAAACGGCTAGACAACTGTCCGTGATGTCATCAACCCACCAGGACGGAGAAGTCAATGGATCGTGCATGCACGTGGCAACGTTCCCAGTACGCAAACTCGCTATTGTGCTCTGCCTCACGCGTGACGCGACGGGCCCGCCTCTCCGGATCTGGACACGCGCGCCCGCCGTCGCGTCGCGCTCTCCGCTCTTCCACCTCTTCGTCTCCCCCGCCACTCGAAATCGCGACCGTGGAGAAGACAGAGCCCGGAAAGCGCGGACTTCTGGTTCTCGTTGGTACGATGCCGGGAGGCTTCCACGTGCGAGATGGAAATTGAGGTGCGCTGGGCCCAGAACCTCCCGCGCAGGCGCAGGGGTCGTGACACCGCCGCGTCTGCTCAGAGTTCCTGTGCGTTCTTCTTCTCTATGACTTAAGGAAAAGAATACTCACCTTCTCTACGACGCATCGGTGGGTGGTGTTTGTTCAGCGCAGTGGCGTGGCGCATAGCACCGTAAAATACGCCTGATATGTGGTTTCTGCAAGCTCTAAAGTGAGTATGCCGCCGCTCGAACGGATCGTTTTTCACCCACTTAGACCTCTTGTCGTGCAGACATCGGCGTGCGGTCAGCGTCCTGATTGGAGTGCAATCCACCGCCGCCCCTCGACGCGACGACGAAGCCGGCTGGAGGTTCAATCCCACCTTCATCGGTGCCAGCACATACCCGGGTCTACTACCGCGGACATGCTGACGCGCCCAACCTTCTCCTCGGTCGTCGCCGCTGTATGCGCTTCGTAAGGCACCGAGGAAACAGGGTGAGTTCGTTTGGATCATTTGGGGAAATAGATCCTGACTGTCTCGCCTTTCGAGATGCTTCGGATGCACTCCAGTCACTCTTCCTCCGGTGAAGTGACTGGGTGCTTACCGGCTGCGTTCCTCATTGAGTTCCGGACACCGCACAACGGCACGCGGAACATGTCATGGACAACTAGGACATCGCTATGATGCTTTGTAGCTGTCAGGTGGGTGTGTGAATTAACTCAGATAAGCATCACTCTCATTTGCAATGTATAGGTCAAAAAGCTCGAACCTGCGGACGTCGCACGGCAAAATTATCCCTCGAAATCGAGCTTCGAACAGTCTTCGGATTGGGAGTTTCTTCGCCCGAAGAAAAGGAGTCCCGACACAGTGATTCCGGGAGTATTTGATGAAAGGTATGTGAGGTCGATCATGAAGCATAGGACGAGCTGAAGAGATCACCTGCAGGGAGAAACCGGGTTTCTGCCTAGGCCGAAGTCATTCCGTCGAAGATGAAGGACTGAAGGCCACGACGCTCGCAATGGATTCGATCGAACGATGCCGCTTCACTGAGCTTCGCTGTCCAGCGTCGCGCGGGGCAAGTGAGCACATCTATCGACTTTGATATCCAGCTGATGATGAACGTTGCAGATGCATCGTCTTCGCAGTGGTGCACTGACTTTGCGGACTGGGACGACGGGTGAGTAGCGCCCATAGAGACGACTTCTGGCAGACTCACCTTAGCCTCCTCCTGTCCAGGACGCGTCTATGATGTCGAAAACAGTGCGCACGTCGTATGTCACAGCAAAGGGCAGGTCAAGAGACGGCGCTCGCGATGAGACATGGCCGGGTGGAAGAAGACGGATGACTCGCGCGGGCAGCTGCCACGGCACTGCTTGAACGCTTGCCCTCCTACCACCACCATCTCGAACACCCTTCCTCCCGGTGCCCGGCCCCTGTTTCGTCTTCTCGTACCCCCAGCGTCCTCTCTCTACCCCAGCCACGCCCTCTTTGCAGCCGATTCCTCTCTTTCACCGCCAACGTGCTCGTTCTCCTTGCCACGTCAAGACTAGTCTCGGAGCGTACGGCGCACCCTGTCAGCCTTTCCACCGCCGATAAACTCTTGGAGGAGACGGACGTTTTCGACACATGTGGGCGTGTCTTGGAGATGGAAACGTGCGGTGGAAGAGAATGGGCAGCTGGTGGGTATTTCCCCGTATGCAGTAGCCCGTTTGCGAAATATATGCGTTTCCCCTCTCAACACCTGCTTGCTGCGCGTACTGCACCAATCCGCGCGGATGCTGCTCTCCTCGGAACGATACAGTCGGTGTTTGACGGTTGCCCTTCCTTATCCTCGGGGGTTTACCCAGCATGTTCTGCGCCTCGATGCAGAGTTGCAGCAGACGGCTCGGATACAACATTATCCAGAGACATCAAGATAGTAGTCGTTCCCCCTGACATTGCGCTCGTCCGCTGCATAAAACTCAGAGGTAGTTGTGCCCACCAGGCTGCATGCTCTCTTCCGTACCCACCTCGTCCCTACGCCGCTGCTGGGATGCTGTGAAGGCCTGTGCTGGTCATCGGTAAGCACGGCTCGGGTCATTCATGTTCCATCCCGGCACAAGTTGACCGAATATTCGTTCTCTGTAGGCACATAAACATCGGGTTACCGCTGGGAACTGAAAAGCCTCTTTTCCCGAGCACGTACGGATGAGGGCTCCCGGCGTCCGCTGCTCGCTTCGCCGCCCAGTTGTCCACGCATTCACCACAGGGGTGCCAGACACTTTGTTTCCGTACGCGTCATCGCGCAGCAGGAGCTCAGGCCCTTACAGGCCGCATACTGCTCGGCGAGCGCCGCGATATTCGCGCGCGAAGGGGCCGGTCGTCTCCCGTGGTCGTGCTCAATGTGCTCGGGGCGGGCGCGGAGGACCCCCACTCTTCGCAAAGTTCGGGGATCCCACCACTGTCCCCTTGCGGGGCATCCTCCCGCACTGAACGTATCGAACTTGCCGACACTGAATGCGCGCAAGACGGGCGCCAAATCTCCCGCGGCAGCCAACACTCCACCGCCCTTGTCACTTCCGGCCCAGTAACGATCTCCACTGCAATCACATCTTTTGCAGAACGGGGGCGCGAGTCTATCATCGGGCGTGACGCTGCTTCGAGGGGCGGAAGCGCAGTCAACTACCGCGCCACGATATCTTCCGACGACCCCATTCCCACTTAGACGACCGCCTCCACCTCAGCCCCATCGGCCGATTTGCCAGCAGAAATCTCGACCACGGCCGCCAACACCATCCGCGTCGTCCTCTCCTGCCGACCGATCGTGACGATGATGTGCGTCTACCGGCGCCGGGACGGGCAAACGTCCGCAAGATAACGTCCATGCCAGCACATCCTCGACTTTTCCCGCTTTCCATGCGCGTGCAGCTGCAAATCTACCGAGGATTCAAAGGGCTCTGAACATATACATCGACGATCGATTGCAAACACATCCTGTGGCCGAGCCCAACCCCCGAGTTCGTGTTACTGCGACATCGACGGACCAAATCCATCGCAGAAACCACTGTCAGTGGCTCACGAGGGGCCGAACGCGGAGCTGAGGGTCTGACACATCAAGTGTTGCCCGACCTACACCATCTGTGCCATGCAGATGGTGGTCGTTCGCAGGAGAGGAGCAGGTTTGCGTTCAGTTTACGCTTGTTTACCTCGCTTAGACGGGGACTTCCAGCTGGCATGCATCGTACCTGCCTCGTTTCGAGCCCGGCGCTCGCCCGTATAAATCCCCGCGCTTTTCGCGACGGTCCCGTTGCCTTTCCCCCCACATCCATCCGCCTCCCTCATATCGCGGCTTCCCTCGCACCATTCCCCATCCGCCCTTGTGACTGCCCCCCTTTGCCGCCACACCTTCCACGACATGCTCGGAAAAGGGTGAGTCCTTCCCTTCTCGTCCCCCCAGATCTTCTCACAGACCAGTCGCGGCAGCCCGCGTAAGCATCTCCGCGAATGCGATCCTAACGAAGAAGAATACCAGCCCGCCGCAAAGAAGTGCATTAGCATGGCCGTATTCGTTGCAATCTCTCCCCAAGCGGTATATTCTGGCGTGGTGCCCTTCACGTACACTCCCCCATCCCACACTCCGTCCCATCCCCGGAGGCATTCATGGCCACTCTTGAGCAAGTCTTGAACGAAACTGAAAACGGTGACAAGGTCTCGGTTTCCACTCTTGCTCCGCTCGTCGAGCCCGCCCCCACCACCCCCGTCGCGCCCGACCCTCCCAGCGTCACGCTTCCCGAATGCGCACCATCCACTCCTTCCCTGAGCCCGTCGGTCCCGGAGACCGAGCCGTCGCCGTTCTCGTCCCCGCTGTCCACCGCGCCCCCGACGCCGATCTTGACCACCCCGGACTTGCCGCCACTGGCGCTGACCACCCCGGCCCCCCTACCGCCCCGCCCGCTCCAGTCGCCCTCGCCGCTGCCCCGCACCCGCCTCCGTCCCCGCGGCGCGTCGTCGGAACGACGTAGATCGATGCCTCGCTCAGTTCCGTAACGGAGTCAAGAGCGATCTCAGCCCCGTATGCCGGATCGAGGGATGCACCGAGGTCCACTCCATCGACAACCGCGACACCGCGGTCGAGCACCTCGCCCGCGTGCACTACGACCTGACACCGCAGACGAGAGAGGCCAAGAAGCTGGAGGGCGAGTGGGCGTGCAAGGTCGAAGGCTGCAAGGAGGCGGCCGTAGACATGAGGTGGGGGTCTTGGGAAACGCTCTGCCGGCACATCAAGACGACACACTTCGGATGGCTTTACGCGTGCCCGGACCCAAAATGCGATATGCATTACACGCGCTCGGACCAATTGAAGAAGCACTTTGAGCGCGAGGAACGCTTGACCACAACCCACTGGTCCGGTGAGTGGTCCCTTGCCTTTCGTGGGTGTGGCACGCGAACTGATAAGTCTTTTCCCAGTTGCTCAGTACAAGGCTCACATCGCTTAGAAGGCGTTTAGCGACATCACCACTTACAGTACCATGCACGTTCTTGTATAGTTTCATCGCGTATCCTTATCCCACACATCACTCCAGTACATACCCTCGCAACATTGCTCTTTACGGATCACTTCACGTACATCCTCGTCCCTTAACTTCACTCCGCTGTTCATATACGCCTCGTTCCTCTTTGTTGTCATCTACCACTTGTACCGCTGTCCATACTCCCCGTCGTCCTTGCTCTCGAATTGTCATGCTCTGGATTCATATCACATTACCACTGTCCTATCTATTCGTACATAGCTATCCGCAACGCTCACGCTCCATTATGATTTATCAAGGTTAACAATGTGCACTCCATATGTACAGGTCCAACACGTACGCTCTTTGTATTCGATTGTGCCACCCTTCGTGGGAGGGATGAAAAGATGCCCACTTTGTCTAGACGTGTACCAACTCCACCGAAGGCTTCGTGCATGGATCACAGAATGCTGATGAAGCTTTTACGAAAGCGCTCTCTCACACCCAATGGACGAACAGCTTGAATACACCAAACGATGTGATTGACACTGGACTACGCTGCAAAGGTTTTCCGAAAGAAAGCGGAACATATAAGTATGGGAGGCGCAAGTTCGTCCGCACCTTATCTTCCCCGTCTCTATCTGCGACAGTAGACATGGGCTCTCTCAACGGGCGCCGGAATCGGAACACGAAGGGGGAGGACAACTGGGCGCTCGAGCCCGTCGACCTCCCCACCGACGCTGACTTGTGCAGCTACCTCCACCCATGGGGTCAAGCCAACGACATCGGGCTTGGGCCGCCGCAAGATTACCTGTACGGGGAACGCGACGTACACTACATGCTCACAGGTAACATTATCTTTATCCATGCACTTCACCTCCGTCTCTCAACTGAAGTTCCGCTCTTCCAGCTCCCTCCGATACCTCTGAGCCACATCCCGAATATATCACCGAAAGGCCCCAACGCCTTCCGCGTCTCTCGGTGGAGGAGAGCGTCGAAATCTTCCACTCCTCGCAGACCGAGCAGGTTCCAGGATTTGCGAGAATCCCGCCCACCTTTTCGTCCTCTTCTCCCCGAACACTCGCGGTCTCCAAAACGCTCCATCAGCCGCGACCTTGTTCACCACGCCGCGAGCGCGGTGTACACTCCACTGCCTCCCGCATCGATCCCCGCCGGCGTCCCCGATGTCCGCCCGGCCATCTCGAAGATTCCTGCGAGCCAGATACGCGATCTCATCCAGCGCCTCGACGCAAAAGGGCTGCTGTCGGACGCCGAGAACACGTATCTCCGCATGCTCCCGGCGACGGAGAGCATCAACGGTACCTGTGCTCCCCGCGGGAGCCGTCTCGCGATCGGCCTCTGCGTCCGAGGCCCGTGCCGCAGCCCGAAGAGCGGGCCTGTCCGACGTCTGGCTGGCCGTTCATGGCGCCAGGGTCGTACTTTCCGCCATTCACGGATGGAAAGCCGACCTCCTCCAGCGCTCAAGACCACGGAGGGAACGGGCGCGCAGTGGGCGAAGAGAACAATGAGGCGAGTTCTGTTCTCGTATTGGCCAGGTGTGATTACGCGAGAGCTGACGGTGCGTGGAGTGCAGAGCCTCGTCCATCAGAAGGGCAAAGGAGTCGCGCGTCGTTTTGCGCCGGCCAATGCCACGCCGCGCAGAGTCTTGCCGGAGAGGTCGTCGCGTCGCAGAAAGCAGGGGGACAACTGAACAAAGGATGGGTCGGCACGGCAAGGGGCGCCAGTACAGCGGGAGCCGAATCCCTCTGTCATTGTTTACGTCTTGAGAGCACGATTGGCTTAGCGAGCCAACCAATGTGCATTCACGACGGGCACGGCCTAGCTTCGGAGCTCGAAATGCGTAGAAAAAGACTGTGAGAGATGACATTCCAAGGCACAAAAACAGGAGCTAAGGTGACCTTTCTCCACCTTGTTCGACATAACACAGTATCACTTTAATATTCTTGTATCGCTACTATTTTTATCTTTTTTTGTTACATCAAGGTCACCTGCTTTCTTTTTTTTGTATCTTCACTTTTTTCCTTTTCGAGCTCCGCTACGTTTCCTCGTGATTGCGATAAGTCATAAAACGAGGGCACTGCGCCCGGGGACAATGACATGGACGCGATCACGTGCAACTTGTCGAGCCCGCGACGCGTCTTGCTTTATGCCCGATCATGCCCAGTGGCGCCCGCGTCTGATCTCCGTCTTCGACCGCCGCTCGGTCTAGACTCTAGGCTCTGACTCTCGGGGTCTTGACGGCCGCGACGAGACTCTGGGGAACGTAGACCCACGCGCAATACGGCTCCGATGTTGCCCCACGCCCCGATATGCTATTCAGCCTCTCTCTCCAAAACATCACCGGCGCTGAAATGATCCCACGAGCCCCTCAGCTCTCCAGACGGTGGGTAATTACAATCTGGTGCGTCCGTTTTGTTCGCTTCAATAGACTCGGCTGGGTGTGTCCAAGACGGATCTCAGACACCACTCAGCCGCCGCTATGGTGCACAGGCCGCGCATTTCGTCCTCGCCTCTGGTGGGGACCCGTATCTCGGAGTTCACATCAGAGCGCAGTGACAACGCGTAGACCTCTCTCGGACGGTTTCAGTGTCCAGAGCCGTGTGTTGAGCTCTGACCATTTGCTCCTGGATGCCGCCGCGCAGCATCGGGTAGCGCGGACGCGATGGCATCTCCGTCGCGTGTGTGCTACGCGAAACTCGCGCTCGCCTCTCCCGTCAACGCACGGTCGTTCCGCATTCCAAGCGACGGAGCGTACCTATGCCGCCGCAGAGGGCGACACCCAGATACGTCGCATGTTTACCCATCATCGATGGCAGGACGGATGCGATATATGCTGTCTTGTGGGGTGGTCAGTATCCAGTGGGCGATTTATACCTCTGCAAGCGCAGCTAATCCCATGACATAGGTCGCTGAATCGCCGTGCGCTGTCCCCGGGGATGGCTCGTCTGTTGCCCGACTGCAGGAGGCTCTTATCCACGACATCCTCGTACAGCACCTTGAAAGTAAGCATAAAACCCCTCTAAAGTTATCCATAAACTCACGTTATATGGACTCCTTTTGTTGATGTTCATATAGGTTGCTGGATGTGCGGGTATCACCTGATATTCCGTCCGGAAAATATGCGTCGGTACGGATTCGAACATCCGGCCTGATCGAGGCGGGGCTACGTGCAGGTGAAGTTCTGACATAGGTGGGTGAAACCGTTCGTTTTATCGATGTGCTGAGTGCTGACGGCATTATTCTGCTGTAGAATACAGAACACGTTCAGCTGCTAGTAGTGGAACGGCCTGCATCTTGCATACTGGTTTGCCACGGCACACGGAGACGATAAACAGCAAAGCCGTCGGCTGTGTCGAGAAGAGCGAGATGGCTCTTTCTTATCTTGAGAGCGGAAAGAAGCCAATGGTAAGTATCTCCAAATTGTAGCAACCACTCACTCTGACCAAGTTTCTGTCTCTAAGGGAGGGAGGCCCATAACGTGCTTGTCGGAACAAACAATGCACAGACGAGCTCGTCAGGCACCGCTTCGCTGAATCCGCAAATTGCGCGCCGACCAACACGCGCCTTGCTCCCTCCTCCCACCACGGCTGCCCGGGCCTGCCCCTCTCCCGCCAACGTCGCTCTCCTTCGGCTATCTAAACTCTTCAGGGCTTTCTCTCCCGTCATTTCTTCCCCTTGTTACCCTCCTCAAACGACAACATCACGATTCGTCCTCGAGCTGTTCTGCGCTCATCATCACGCAGACTGTTACCCAAGATTCTCGTCAACCTCCCCCCTCGTGGCCTCAGGGATGCGGAGACGCTGGAGGATCTCATGCGTGGTTGCGTGTGGACACCGCGCTTGGGCCGACGGAAGAACGGTGGTGTTTGGTATGTCGTGCACGTGTAGGACAGGGGCCCCGTGCCCATATACAATTGCATTCCCACTTTCTTGCTCCCTCTGCGCGATGTCCCTTTCATTCCCCCCACCACGTCTCAAGTCGCCGCACGCCACTCTGTCTTTCGTGCAGACTGGTCTCTCCATCGATCACGGTCATGTTCACGATGATCTTGCGACCACGTCTGCCATCGTGACCGACTCGACACACCCCCAACCACTCTCGTTGGCCGCGGCCATGGCCTGTGTTACCTCTCAGGTCATGACCGCCGTCAAAGATGCCATCCGAGCATGATGGTTGCGCTGGAGAGCGCTCCTCGCGTTCCAGAGTGTTCACAGCAGGCAACGACTCCCACACCTCGCTTCGTTCCTTTCGTCGTCGGTGAGGTGCGTCTGTCCCCCTCTCCGCCCTTTCAAAGCCTCTGCATTCATACTGATACATGACGGTCCGACTTCAGGTTTGTTTACACATCACTCTCGATCAACCAGACGCAAAGCACACACCTGGCGCACGGCTCGCCTAACCTCGTCCATAAACAGGAGATCGACCACGATCTACGCGATCTGCCGCATCGCGTCGCGATGAGCAAATCTATTACGGATTCCGTGGTCGGCACCGGCATCCCATGCTGAGATCGGTGCCCAGCTGACATCTAAATACACGCTTCAAGTCGCGCGAATCATCAAGCGTCATACTTCCTCTCGTGGCTATCCCCCAATCAGAGTGTCGCGAACCACCTGCTTTATTTGTCCAGGGTTCAGTTTACCACTCGTACAAGAACTGCCCCCAGCATGCCTTCTGCCCATCTCTGGGATTAAGCTTGCCGAAGAAGCATCGTCCCGCTCCCCCTATACACCCGCCGTCACGAACCTTTTATCAAGTGAAGGCGTTCGAGGCATCGTCGCCTACTCGGGGCTGTCGAGAAGAGCAAACGCCCGTGTACTCTCGGCGGTCGGCATCAACTTTCCAGTGAGTCGCTCTTTCTGTGTACTCTACTGCGTCATCGAATCCCTCAGCGCATCCTTCCCGACGCCCAGTCGTACACGTGCGTCTGGTTCGGATTCAAGCCCACATCCTGACAAGAGTTCGTCGACAGCAGTGGCCACGGACTGCTCGCCGCACACAAGGCTGTACGCGCTCATTTCCTCGCCATTCCCTCGCAGTGCGCACACACGACCGTGGAGAGCGCGAGTAGGAAGTGGGGAACAGGACTCAACACAGTACCTTCTGGCAGGGGAGCGCATACGGCTCACAGAGAACACGGACGGCGGCGCCGTCCCGACGCGTGCTGTGGACGTGGAACAGCTGGGGACCCGCGCGTCTTTGCGATTTCTGGTGAGTCGTGGTGGTCATCCTTCGCTCGAGATGGTTCTGACTGATAAGCAGATACTGCACATGGGTTCCCGTTGCTCGCTCTGTATCTGCTGCGGGACGATTCGTGCAGTATACCAATTAGAGGGGCGCTCTGCTGTTCGATTGGCTCGGATGTCTACCTAATTCATCTATGGGTTTCTGAAGCCATGTATGGGACCGATGGCGCCGTTCTCGAGTGCCGGTTGGGACCCATGCGCACGCGGCACGCCGTGTCGAGAAGTGTCCCGATCAACCAGCTCTGTCATGCGCCCTCGAGGGACGCCCAAAGGCTCTGCTCCGATCTCGTTTGTGGATTTCTGTCAACCGATCCAGTTGCCCACATGCTCACAAGTCGCATTGGCAGGACGCGGGCGCAGCGTCGCCCCGGCTTCGGGTAGACCCACGCCGGGGTGCCCGCGCGCGCGCCCGGGGAGAGTTGGCGCACGCACGAGATCCGGCGGCGATCGCGCCGATCGAAACGTAAACGTTGTGTGAGTCTGGCGGCGCGTGGAGGGCCGCAGGTACGCGCGCCTGGAGCGACGGAGTCTCGGACAGATCTCCGTCCCGACGCGCGAAGCGGTCGGCGGTAAGTCGCCTGGACCAGTCCATCCCGCCCATTGTTCTCCTGTTTCGGATCCTGGCTGGTGAGCACGAAAACTGGCGCGCACCCCGTCGGCCACGTCGCGCGGCGCCTCATCATTCCATTGGCGCGCACTGCCGTTACGCGTTACTGCTGCGCAGGAGCGCGAGCGTGCTTCCCTGCCCAGACGCGCGCGCGGCGGCGCGATCGCGACGCGCCCCATCACTCTGTTCGTCCAGCCTTGGTCCCGCATTTGGTCCGCGCTGTCACGGATGCATTCAGTCCCGCCCATTGTTCTCCTGCTTTCGGTCCCGACCCCCGCGCACGAACAATAGCGCGCACCCTGCAAGCGACGTCGCGCGCCGCGCAGAACAGCAACTGTACATTGCGCATCCGTCACCCATTCCAGGCACGCACTGCCATGCCTGCTGGACGGCCGCGCGAGCGTGTCTCTTCCTTGAACCCGTACGCTGACGCGCGCGCAGAAGCGCAATCGCAGCGCGCCCCATCACATTTTCTGCCTGTCGCGCATCCTTGCCAGCCACGTCCAACCTCCGCGATTTCGGTGGGTGTGACAACCAGACACTCCGCGCGGCTCGCACTCATCATCCAGTTCGTAAGATCGAAGTCCATGAATAACGGCGTGAGTCGTAAAACAGCGAGTTGCACAGAAGGGCGAGCAGAGCATTTACAGTAGATAGCGACGAGAAGTTCAACGAGCAAGGAACATACAATCGAGCCGGGAACAACAACATATGCGACACCAGAGATTGTACAGTAGATAGCAATGACGACATACAAGAAGTCCAAAGTGCAACGGATGCACAATCAAGTTAGGAATAACAACTTACGCAACGTCCATGCCCGCCGTGGCCCGTTCATTGGCGTTGCCCCTGCGCCCGCCCGACCGCCAGCTCGTAGTCGCGCATGATCCGCCGGTACTCCAACGCTGCGAAAGCACCATACAACAACACATCAGCGAACGACGCTCGAACGAACCGAGCGAAGCGTGCACTCACACGAAATGCGGCACTCCCCACGGTCAACGTGCCTCGTCACAAACGTCGAGCGGGCCTGCAGCTCCCCGCACCCGGGGCACTCGAACTGCCACCTCAAGTGCTCCTTCTGGACGTGCTTGAGGAGCCCCGCATCGTCGTGTACAATGTCTGTGATCGCACCCCTCGAACGCGCACCGCACCTCGCGCGGCCCGCCGCCGTTGCGCCGCAGGCCGGGCCAGTGCGCGCGGACGTGCTTGTGCGCCTCCGGGAGGTGCTCTGCGCGGAGCGGGCTCGCGCGCGTGCACCCGCTCCAGCCGCAGTGCGCTTCCCCCGGGCGATCATGCGGAAGGCGAGGTGCTGACGGTGGAGTGCTCGTGGAGCCCTGGTACCTTGCTGGGATTTCGCCGGGTGCCAGTGGGTAGGCGTGACGAGAGCGGGAGCGGCGCGGCGGGTGCGGGCCCGATGTGCGTGGTGGGGAAGGGGAAGTGGATGGGCATGTGCATCGGGAGGGCGCCGGAGCTGGCGCGTTCGCGATGGCGGGGTAGTAGGGCGCCGCGTGTATGAGATAGGGCAGGAAGTAGGTCGCCTCGGGAGCCGCGGGAGCGTGCACGGGATAGGTGAAGGTGAACTCCGTCGGATACGCGGGGGAGCAACTTGCGGGGGCGCAGCCAAGAGCGCATGCGGCGCGGCGGGGCCTCGAAGCAGGCGAGGTCCGTGAGCGCCGGCGAGGGGCCGGCCGAGGTCGCCGGGGTGTTAGTCCCCGCGTCGTCCAGGGCGAAACGGGGGAAGAGCGCGGCTGTGGTGGCGACTGGAAGATCTCTTGTGGTCCCGCGTTCCACGGCGCGCTACCTGGCATCTCCGGATGGTCGACGTAGGGGGTGGGTGGTGAGGTGCATTTGGTCGGGGGAGATGGTGGTGGTGTTGGGCTGAGGGAGCTGCCGGAAAATTTGCGATAACTCCTCGGGCGACATCAAGCAATGTCGTCAAACGTAAGAACGGGTGGCTGGGGAGAGGTCGGGCGCGCAGTCGCGATTGTGGGGGTGCCGACGGGATCTTGGTCGAGGACGCCGCTGTCCTTGGGAGGCGCGCACTGGTCCAGTCCACCAATTCCTCGGGGTCAACGACGCGGGTGACTCCGGGGCGACGGGGGGAGTAGGGGCGACGGGGGGGGGGCGGGGGGGGGGGGGGGGGGGGGGGGGGGGGGCGACGGGGGGAGTAGGGGCGACGGGGGGAGCAGGTGCAATGAGAGGATGTTCGATGTGCATGGCAATGACGGCGTTGCGAAACTCAAGAGACGCTTCCAGGACGGGTAGAAGAAGACCCTTTACCGTCTCGACCCCTTCCTCGCCGCTTTCCATGATTTGAAGCATCGCGTCCACAGCGAGCTCCTGCAGCGATTTCGATGGCCTCTCTTCCACATCTCCCAACGACTCTTCCCGGGTGCGCTTGAGGGGGCTGCATGATCGGCGTCGGTGGTTGAGAAGGGGGAGGATGAGCGCAGAGGTACTCACGTGGATTGGTATGCCATTGTGGTCCGCGATGTGTCCAGGGAACTTTGTGGTGCTGGAGCACTCGTGGTGAACCACAGAGCAGAGAGAAGAGAGAGGAGCGGAGCGGGGAGGTGGTGGGTGGTGGGGAGGAGAGCGCCAGAGGCTACTTCAACTCCGCTTGGCGCTATCGCGTACAGGTTGCTCATTCCAAAAAAGGGGAAGCGAAAAAAATGGAATATTCATCAACATAACACTTTGCCCCAACGAAACAACGTGGCACGGCGATATCGATGGCCTTTGCCGCCGAGGACGGAGTGCCTTTGCGCACCAGGTCCTGCCCTCATGCCGGCGGTGGATGGCAAAGAAGGGTGCTCTTCGCCTGATGTGCATGGTCCATTGTTCCTCTCACGACCCGAATGCACGTCACGCACAAAATTTCCACAGCCACTGTGGTGTATACCACGGCGAGTGGCGCATTTACCGCGGGGAAGAACAGCACTTCGTCGCTCTCAAGCTGCTTTCACCGTATCCACCAACATCGATGCGGCGACATCTTCGCCGTCTCGTCCCCCGCGAACGACTCGCACATGCCCGCGACATTCCTCGACCACGATATCTCCGCCAATGGACCGTAAGCCGGGGAACGAGCGTGCACCGGTGCTGCGGTATGGCGTCGGCTCGGTTAGCTCGAGCCACCCTACCGACGCGGCAACCGCGTACACCCCGCCTTCATCTCCGGTGCGCGTTCCTGAAACCAACGCGCCTCGGTCCGTCTTAATGCACCCGCGGCGTTCATACGCGAGCGACGCGAGACGGTCAACCTCGAGGCGACCCCGTCTGGCCTCGTCCAGTGGCTCTTTGATCCCCCGCACGCGACTCTGTAAGTCTGGGGCGGACTGCGCGCGCTCTTTGTTGCGCCACGCGGTCCGCCAGACCACCGAGGAACCCCGCGGAGGACGGTTCGTCAAACGCGTACTGATGATGCACGTCTCCGCATGCAGATCGACTCGCCTCTGCACTGAGGAGGTCGGCTGATCGTTCTCTCTCCCGCCACATCGCGCGCAACCACCACCGACAAGCCCACGAACCAGCAGAGTCGCGGTCGTTCATGGAACTGGTGCGGAGGCGTGCGTGGCGGGTTTTCCACCGCGAACGCGCCCGCAACGATGGCCAAACCCAAACAAACCGCACACCGGTACTCGAGCTGCAACACAACGGACGGTCCCCGATCTCCCTCGCAGGCAAAGAAATACAGCTACGCCCCCTCATCTTACAGTCTGAAGCTCGGTGCCGGGACGCGATGAGCGTGGCACTCACCATGCTGTTCTCCCGTGCGCGTAGAGTCACGCACAGTGCGCTGTTTGGTCCTGCTTCCGATCCACGGTGAGTGCACGTCATACCTTCTGACCGGCGCGAAACTCACAAGCACGTCGTCCGTCTGGTTGGCGACTTTTCTAGGTCTTAATGAAGATGCACCGGGCTCGCACAAGCGCGGGGGACACGGGTGGCGACGACACCGCTGCGTCTGCTTAGAGTTCCGGTGCGTTCTTCTTCTCTCTGATTTGAAGAAAAGGATACTCACATTGTGCATGACACATCGGTGGGTAGCGTTTATTTGGCGTGGCGTGGCGCATAGCAACGCAAAACGCGCCTGATCTAGACGCGGTTTCTGCAAAAACTGTAGTGAGTATACCGCTGCTCGAACGTATCTTTTATCACCCGCTAAAACCTCTGTGACGTGCAAGAAGCGCTATCTTCCTGACCAGAGTGCAGTCCACCGCCTCTTGATGGAACGACGGGGACAGCTGGAGACTCTATCCCACCTTCATCGGTGCCAGCGCATATTCAGATCTCATACCGCGGGAATGGTGACACATGCAACCTTCGCCTCGGTCGTCGTCATTGCGTGCGCCTCTTGATACACACAAACACCAAGGTGGGCTCACTCGGATTATTTGGGGAAACAGACTCTGACCGTATCGCCTTTCGAAGTACGTACGTACCTGCACTGTCAGCGGATGAGTTATACCTCGGTCCGCTGACCGATGGCCTATGAAGGTTCGACGCAATGTTGCCCCAGAACATGATGCTTCAGGTGCACTCCAGTGAGTATCGATCAATCTTCTTGTGATGAAATGACTGTATGCTTACCGACTTTGTTCTCCTATTGCAGGACGGGAGTGTCTGGCGGCTTGATGAAAGGTATGTTGGGTCGTTCATAAAGCATAGGATGAGCTGACGAGAACACCTGCAGGGAGAAACCAGGCTTCTGCCTAAGCCGAAATCATTCCTTCGGAGATGAAAGGACCGAAGGTCGCGACACCCGCAATGGGTTCGATTAAGCGACGCCACTTGGCACTGAGCTTCGCTGTCCAGCGTCGCGCGGGGTCAGTACGCACCTCCATAAGTTCGCCCTCTTCTATATCCAGCTGACCGTGAAATTTTCAGAGGCATCGTCTTCGTGCTGCACCGACAGCACGCTCGACTTTGTGGACTAGGACGACGCGCGTACACCGTGGTGAGTAGCGCCCGGAGATACGACTTCTGGCGGACTCACCTGAGCCTCTTCCTGTCTAAGACTCGTCTATGACATCGAAAACTATGCGTGCGCCGTTCAAGAGAAGGTAGGCGCGACGATCAGACATAGGCGGGTGGAAGAAGACGGATGACTCGCGCGCTGCCGGCCTGCCGCGGCACCGCAATGCTTGCCTCCTACCACCACCATCTCGAATCCCCTTCCTCCCGGTGTTCTCACGTCCTCCTCTCCTACTCCCAGCGCTGTCTGTACATCTCCGGTACGCCCTCTTTCCGCGGATTCCTCCTTTTCCCCGCCGACGTGCTAGTTATGCTCGACACATCAAGACTACTCCCAGACCTCGCTGTCGTCGTCACCCCTGGATCCTACCCACCAGCCCATCTCCAAGGCCACCTCTCCCAATCTCTCGAGGGGATGGACGCCTTCATTATGGGTGGAGATACCCGGATGGGGAAGAGTACTGTGGAAGAGAGCGGGAAGCCGGTGTGTCTACGCCTTGTGGAGTTCGTCATCCCAAATATATGTTTTTGCCCCTTTCAATCCCCGCCCCTCGAGTTCCTGGCCATGCCAAGCAGACTATGGTCTGTTGGGTATGGATGGAGTTGGTCGTTGTGGTTTCCACGGCGACTTCCCTGCCCCTGGCCTTGGCCGAGCATGCCCTGGGTCTTTATGCAGAGCTGGATCAGGCGGTCCTGTCCCCAGCCACGGCATCAAGAACATCTCCCTCATATCATGGTCCCATTTTGCGTCCAGCTGCGCGCCCAGGCCAGTGGATGTTGCAGCGTACACTTCCCCGCCGCGTTACGAGGGCATCAGTTGGACATCGGTGAGTAACGCCCCGGTTGCTCAGCTCTGTTCCGCGAAGTTGACCCAGAGCTTGCTCTTTGCAGGTTGGTTTCACATGCGATGCTACGACCACGTCTCATCGGCGAAACGCTTCTTTGGCGTGCACAAGCCTTTGCTCGCCGTGCGTGGAGTCTCGATACCGAGCAGGGATGCCTCTGAGGCACCGGGAACTCTGTACATGCACTTCTATTGCGGTGGGGCTCAAAGCCTCGAAGGTCGCGTACTGGTTGGTGCGCGCGCGCCGGGATGCGTGCGCGCGCAGAGCAAGGGTCCGCGCGCGCTCGGCACGCCTCGAGCCCGATTTCCCTCACGCGGCCGCTGCGAAGGCGTTTTGCGTTGTTGGCGCCTTCGACGGCGGCGACGACCTTTGTTGAGTGTAAGTTCACGCGGTGCTCATCAGCGTATCATCGGACGTTCAGCACTGCGATTTCGAGGTGTGCAAGATCCACCTTTTAACGCAGCACGTACACAAAGGCTCGCTGGTATCATGTCTATTCAGACTCGCAGCCATGGCTACTCGTCAGACCAAGTTCCGCCCGTCCACCGCTCACCACGGCCGGCCACACCATCGCCCCGGATGATCCTCTAGCGAAGAGGCGAGTGGAGTGTGGAGGCTCCCGCCTACGGCGACCAACATCACTCCGGCGAGCTTGCACGTCGACAACTCCGGCTTCGCCCTCAAACACCTTGGCGACTACCGCGCCCGTGACAATGAGCCAAAGAAGCTTTAGCGGTACCGCTTCTGAGGCGTTCGGGCACAGTGCCTCCGCACTGCGCCACGAGAGGAAGGTGCGAGAGCACTCCGAGCACAATTCGGAGCCGGTTGTGCACAGTGACTCGACGGTACAATGGGCCCGTGTTCGCGGCTCGTAGTCGCGCTTCATTTTCTCAAATAACTTGGATAACGTTCAGTGGAAACTACAAAGACATACACCGAAGGCCAACGCTGAGGAGAGGGAAATAAAGTACGTGCGGCGAATAAGTATGATCGTAGAAAGGAAAGCGGTACACAACCTGACAACGACATTACAAAGTAGGTAGCCGGTATAGTAAATGACGGAAACTTGGATCTGTAAGCTTTCTGAAGTCAATTGACCGCCGCCAGAGCCAACGAGCTTACCACTCACGTTTAACTCCAGGATGCGTGTTTGGAGATCTGCTGGGCGTGCATCACTTCTTCGACGGCCCAGTGCGGCGCGGCGGCTTCTTCCCCGCAGTAGGATTCTCGTCATCCTCGGGCGACTCCGGGTTCTCTCCTTCCGGGTTTAGCTCCTTGTGGATTAGAAGGACATGTCGCCTCAGGGTATCCTCGCGGGTACAGGTGACGGAACAGCCCTGGACTGGGCACAAGAACATCCACTTGAGGTGGACCTCCTCGTGGTGCCGCCGCAAGCTCTCGTAGCCCGAGTAGGGCCTCGACTGACGCTGGCAGCCCTCGAGTTTGCACGGCCAGAGTGGTTTTGGTGCCGGCGCATCCTTCTTCGCGTCCCCTTCTTCGTCTTCTTGGTCTTCTTCTGGGAGGGAGCGCTCGGTGCCGACTGCTGGATCGTTGGCGGCGCCCTCATGCCCTCCTTCGCGCCGTAGTGCGAGGCGAGGTGCTTGCGCACGTCGACCATGTTCTTGACGGAGTTGACGAAGTTACATCCGTAGAAGGGGCACTCTACATCACCCACCACGGCACAGTCGCGGCAGATCGTGTGCGTCTTGCGACTCTTTTTGTTCTGATGCGTGTATGAGCCTCGATGGGATTCGGTGATGAAACTCGACACTCACCACCACTTTCGCTGCGGTGCTTGTGACCTTTCCTTTACCCTTGAACGCGCGTGTGGCCGCGGCAGCGCGCGCACTCCCGCGCGCCACTCCCTTTCCCTTCTTGTCGGCGGGATCAGGCTCCCCGTACTGTGTCCTTCGTCAGTGACCGCCCAGACGAACCAAGATTCAAAACAACTGACCTCGGCTTCGCTATCATCCTCCTGCTCATCGATCCCGTTCTCCTTCTCTTCGTCCTCCCCGAACCCCTCCCAGTCATCCGCAGTGATCACCGGGACGTACAGACCACCGGCGCGTCAAGCACGCGAGACGGTCCCGCCTTCGAGCTCGACGACCTCGCGGCCACTCGCGGGGGGATGCTTCGGCGCACGAACCGGGAGGAACGGCGCACGAAGTTCGTGTCGACGTCCGTCAGCGCCGTTCGCGGACGCTTGGCCACCCACTCCTCGTCGTCGCTGTCCGCGGTGTGCTTCCGTCGGGAACGTCGCGCCTGCGCCCCGGCTGGTGGAGGCGGAGTGGGCGCGCGAGGAGGCTGGACGGGGGTGGCGGGCGCGGGTGAAGGTGGGGTGGTTTCTGGGGAGGGCGAGGACGGAGGGTCGGCGTCGTGGGCGCAGGGGTTGGGGACAGTTGTGGAGACTCTGAGGAGTGTGGTGGGCTGTATAGCATGAGGTCGCGGGGGCAAACAGTGAGGACTTCTGTGGGCGTTGGGGAGAGCGGTCCGACCGATCCAATGGGTGGTTCGTCAAAATTGGAGTTGAGGATTTCTTCGAGCTCGGAATCCGTGAGGTATGGCTCAAAGGAGGGAGGAGGGGAGGGGAAGGGTTGGCCTAGTCGAGTGGTGACTGACGTTAACGGGAGAGGTTGATGAGGCAATGGACGGCGTACCAAATTTCCATTCTGACATAGAAGTGCCAATGTACCCGCCGCTATCGATTCCCGACATGTGGGGAAACCCGTCGACGTCGTCCTGAGGATGATTGATCCTAGAGTCAGGCGTTGCTTCGTGACCGGGGTGGCGGTAGAAGTCGCAGGGCATGGTAAACGGTGGAAATCGTCGGGTACTGGGGAGTGGGGGTGGGAGAGAAGGTTAAATAGCGACGAAGGGCGTCAAGCCTGCCAACTTACGCGTGTCGAGGAGCGTCCAGTAACGTGATCGTTCCAAGTTCCAACTGTCTAGCACAGTGCCATCAGGGCCATTCTGACCGAATATACACGTGCAGTGTTCGAACAATATTTCGACCACTTCTTAGTGAAGATATGACCATTCAATGACCATTTCTTCGCATTTCAAAGTAGAGAAGAACGTGAAAACTCTAATAGAACTCCCACATCGACTTATTACATCATTCCGATGGATAGAAACTGTGGCCTAGAAGTGGCATATCGACGACAAGGGGGCCCTCTTCACATGACCATCGACGGACTCACATATTCACGTCCGCTCTAGACTGCGCCTTTGCGCTGGTGTTGTGCGCCTTACTGAGCGAGTTCCAGCTGTGCCTCCACTTTACTCCAGACAAACAACATTGTCACAAAGCAGACCGTACCACATCAAAATGGGTACACGACTTCCGAGACCACAATCATGAACACCAAAAACATGGTTCCTCTCGGTGGCCCCGCCTTACTCCTGCGATCTTTTCGCATCTTCTCACCCTCGAGTGCGCTCGAGGCCACGGATACAACTGTCGTAGCAGCGTGGACCCCGCACCAACCAGCCCACCCGAGAGGACAATGACGATGTCATGCCACAATAGCATCCTATCGTCATCGCCTCTCCAGCTTCCCCATCCGGACGTACACCCAAAATCCTGTTACTCCATGACATCAGGGACGAATGAGTCAACGGAAGAGGCGAGTGGCGGAGTTCCCAGTGCGTAAATTCACCATTGTTCTCCGCCTCGTGGTGCGGCGAACCCGCCTCTCCTTATCCGGACACGCGCGCACAGGGCCGTCGCGTCACAGATTCTGCCCTTCCTCTCGGCCGCGACCGCCGCCTCCCGAAGTCGCGACCATAGGGCACATAGAACTCGACTGGCGTACAATCTCGGGAGACCCACATGTGCGGGATCCTAAGCGAGGTATGTCGCCTCCAGACTCTAGACCTTTCGCTGAGCAGACACAGCGGTCTCTCGACCGCTGCCTCTGCACAGAGCCCCATTGAGCCAACTCGCATCTTCCTCCCGTTAAATAGCGGAAAGCAGATTCTCACCATCTACATCGAACATCATTGAACAACACTGCCCGCTACCAGAAGATAGCATCGAGGGGTGTGTGGCGTGGCATCAGACCGCGCCGGAGGAGCAGTATCTGCAAAGTATTCTGTGAGTACTGTCTCGACCGAAGCATCGGACGGCTCTCAACTCGACGCTTGTTGCCGAAGAGCCAGGCCAGATCTCGAGCAGAGGCTCTTGCTGTCTAGTCTGGAGGCCAGAAACCCGAAGGAATGTCAATATAGCTTACCGAAAGAACGAACAGCTGACGACAATGCCCACAGTAATTTCCCCGTTATGCCACAATGAACATGCCCGAGCGAACCCGTTCCACCGAGCTTCCAGGCCGTTCAGTGTGGAATGGGTCATGTTTTGTTGGGATTCCTTCGGGATGTCGGAGTCCTGTGAGTAACTCAGCCCATCTTACCGTCAACGTTGCTCGTTCGCCGCAGAAGTGCACCACCTCCTAGCTGCATCCAAGGTCTGCTCAGCTTTGCAAACTGCAACGGCTCACGCAGACGGTAAGTAGCGCCCAGAGAGACGATTTCGAAAACTCACCTGATCCTTCTCGTTCTCAGAACCCGCTTACGACGCACGTATGAGGTAGATATGTCACAGGATCCTCAGAAGGCAGACTTGGACCGGATGGAGAGGGATGAGAAGTCGCGGGGCAAGCCGTGCCAACAAGCGGCAGCGCCAACCTGCTTGTCCTCCTACCACCACCACCCCGGATATCCCCCGTCCCTGTCCTCGTTTCCTCCTCTCTCTCTCCGGGCGTAACCTCACCACATCTGGAACGCCATCTGCGCTGCATGGTTCCCCCTTTCGCCGCCGACGTGCTCGTCTTCCTCGCCACGTCACCCTCTGTCCCGGACACCGTTGTTTTCGCCACCCCCGTATACACCGACCCTCCCTTCACCAAAGGCAATCCACCCATCATATCTAGAGGAAGGACGTTCTCACAATCGGTAGATGTGCTCGGGTGCCGAAAGAATACAGTGGAGGATAATGGGTAACCGGTATGTTCCGCATCGTTACTGCTATCGTAGTAGCCCGTTCCCCCCAATATGTGCATTTTCTCTTCCAATCTTCCCCGCATATAGCCCGTGTTGTGCTGTGCTTCGAGTAGCACCGTCCTTTTGGCCCACGAGTAGAGTCGACATCGTGACTGCATAGCGTTTTTCTGATGCTCTCCCGCATGAGCACCCTCCTGTTCACAGACGGTCCAGCGACACCTGCGTCCCCGCCCGTCGTTGTGCCTCTAAGCCGACCTAGCCGCATACGCTCCGTCGCTCTCTCTCCATCCGCCTCGTTCCGGCACGTAGGCATTGGGGCACTGTGAGTGCGTCGCTTGGTTATCGGCGAGCTTTCTTTGTCAGGTCGTCGCACGCGCAGGGCATATGTCACTGCGAACCTACTACCGCCGAACAACTGCTCCTCGCTGGCACGCCGAGACTACAGTCCCACCCGCACATAGTTTCCCCTGCGCGCACGCTAAATTGAATGGAAGTCGTGCACCTCGCGTCCCATCCGCAGGACAGGGGTCAATATTTCAATCGTCGCGCCTTCTTGCGTCAGAGCCCCACTCTCGGACCTCGGAGCGGGTGTACCTCTTGAATCGTTCCTGTCTGACGCGAGGCCTGGGCTGTAGGGACATGCTGCGCACGAGAAGTCGGAGGATGGGCTTCGAAAATTGCGGGATATACGTGCCGGCTACCGGCCCGGCGCCCTGATCAGTCGTCGAGCGCTGGACAGCGAGACTTAGCCAACGTGCTCTGTAACTGCGCTTTCGTTCGAAACTAACTGAAAGAATCTTCAGAGATGCTGGCCCAGGTCACGCCGGACGAGCCTGTTGTAGATTTCACAGCAGCCAGCGCACGCGAGACGGTTCGTGCTCGCCGGTTCGAATGTGCAGAGCTGTTAACCGGCACGAATGGGAGTGGGGTATTTCAAAGATGTGGGATTTCAGAGTAGTATACACGAGTGGAGGCATAGAGATATGGGAGTACAGATACTCTTATATTATATGTACACTATGTGACCGAAATCCTTGGTATGTGTGGGATCGTTGTGGTCAAGATGGTGAGGATTATACGTGGAACAAAGTCCAGGACGTGAGTGGAGACGTCAAAGTTAGTGTAGCGTGGCCGCGGTGTATTATTGTCGACCTCTACGCGATCGAGCCTTTGCCCGAGGGGCCGGAAGCTCCCACACAACTTCATCCCTTCAGATCGATACGTCAGTGCTGAACACCAGTAGTCATGGCGAGAATGGCGCACCATTCCTGCGCCCTCCAAGGCAATTCATCCCATTCACCGCCGCATCCTACGCTCAAGGGCGTCCCTCCTGAGCTCGTTCATCCTCTGGGTGTACTCCGAGACTGAAAGCACGTCAGCCGGCAGTCGCAGGCCTCGAGCGACCGCATGCACTCACGCGAAAGCACGCACTCCCCCTTCTTGACGTGAGTCGTCACATGGCCCGGCAGGGAAAAGTGCCGCGCGCACCCGGGGCAGCAGAACCGCCAGCCAAGGTGCACGATCTGGATGTGGTCCATGATCCCCTTGAGCGACTCGAACGGCCGCTCGACCTTGCACCCGGAGAACATGCACGTCCACGCCGTCGCGCCCCCGGGAAAGTGCGACTTGACGTGGCTGAGCGCGTGCTTGGGGTGCTCCGGGAGAAGGAGGCCGTTGTGGGAGCAGCCCGGCCAGGTGCACGTCATCATGTTCATCACGTATGGGTCGAGGATCGCTTTGGAGGCGATGGTGCTGATGTTCTTCCGGCTTGTGCGGGGAGTGCGCGTGGCGGTCTTGACAGAGGGCGGGGGGAGCTGTTGAGCCGCGGTGAGGGCTTCCCAAGCGTCAGGGGCGGGTGAAGGAATGCCGGAGGATCCGGGAGAGGACGACGATGTCGAGAGAGAGGGTGTTGTCGTCGTGGATGGAACAGGAGGAAAGGTTTCCTGGTGGAAGGAGATCGACGGAAACTCGGGGAAGAACTGTGCGGGTGGAGGTGCCGGGAGAGTGTACGGAACGAAAGAGTCTGACGAAAACGCGAATTCCTGAATGGGATCGTTGAGGACGTTCACGGTGTGCTGTTCGCCTCCTTCAGCCATACGTTGCGTGGATTCTTGCACGATATTCTCCCAGAAGTCGAGTGGAAGCTGCTCGGTTGTATCGATAGTGCTTGAGCCGGAGAGTTCGATCCCGTTCGGCGTGTACAACGCGGGCGCGCCCTGGTCCGCATGTCCAACTATCACGTTCCACTGATCCACAGATACAGCCCTCTGGAAGTCATCAGGACTGTTATGGAAGAGAGTAGTATAGCCTTGAGCGGGAGCTACACATGCCGTAGGAGGCTCCGGCGGAGCGAGAATGTGGAGATTGAGGTTGTGGAACGTGTGGTTGTGAGCGTGTGGTGCAGGTACGGCAGTACTAGTGGTGGAAGCGGCAACAGAATATGCGTGGACGAAGGGGAGTGTGCATCCGCTTGAGTGAGCTGGCTGTTCAGAGGGGTAGGGTGCAAGTCGCCCTCGCTCCTTGTCGTAGTTGTCGTAGTTGGTCGTTGTTTTGGCGAATCCCTGGGCGGTCTGCACGGTGGACTTCCTCATCTTCAGCCGCGTTGACGTTTCGTGGCCTTCAGAAGTGCGCTCTAACACAAAAAACGCGGGGGGACTCCACAGAGGTCGGCGATCATGGCAAGGTGAAGTGAAGCTCATGTACTCACCTGAGAATCGACGGCGTCGCAGTATACAGCCTACGAAACGGGAAGATAACCAGAGTAGTTTTTGGATATTGTAGCGAGGTCTTGCTAGTGAAGTGTGAACTACGGGGCGACGACGCGAGGATGGAAGAAGGAAGAGCGCGGGACCCACGCCCGCGAGTTGAACTTCGCCCGGCGTCTGCACCTGCACGAGGCCATCAATAGGAGCATACAAACACGTCTCGCACCTTATGTTACTCCGATAACACGTACTTCATCCGCTAATCGATCCACGTAAGCTCAAAGACGAGGACGAGGCTGTTTCTGACTTCGCGGCGCAGATAGAACGTGAAGTGGGGAAGACATCGAGGCCGTGAGGTCCCGCACCGCCAGGGCGTTCATGGCTCCCACCACACTGACCTCCCCATTTACGTGCATACACCTTCCACAAAAAAAGGACCGACAAAGAAAGATACAGCAAGCTCAGATACCACAATCACTGCCCCCCAGACTACGTACCACACAGTGGCGCAGCGCTGTGGGGATTTGTGGAACCCGTGTCCACCGGATCGCCCATGCAAACTAACAAGGGCGCTGTTGCAGCGACGCAGGACTCTATCTCCGCTCTTCCTCATACTGTCATGCGACCGCCCGGTATCCAACGACTTTCCTCAACTATCTCATCACAGTGGTTCGGAGTGAGACGGCGGTAGGGACGCGGATCCTTCACGGTGCGTTTTCCCGTCTGTCTCTCGCACATATTCCCCCTACGCCCGAAGTGTCTCACAGAGACTCGGCGAGTTCTGCGCGAATCTACCGCGCCTCTGAGCCTCCGAAGGACCTTCTGGGTCGTACACGGAGACCGCGAGGATCATTACCCGCGTGGTGGACTCCGGCAGAGTCAACAGTCCCATCTGCTCTCTTCCTCCCACAGCGCTCCGCGCTGACGATTGCATTCTGAAGGCACAACTCATCAGGAAAACCCCAAAATGCGAATTAGCACTAACAGCGTGAAATTAGTCCTAATGGCTCGTCTAATCGGGCTAACAGAATCGGGGGATCTAGTCACAACTAATGTGTGATAGTTGGGTACTAGCAGTACAATTGATCATCTATTCTCAATAATTCTAGCGGCTCTCTCACTAATTGGTGTAATTCACTGGTATCTGATCTCCCATGTCACTAATTTGAACGTCACACAGATATATTGCAGCTAACTAGAGTAACATTGAAAGGACGACATAGGGGACCATATGGACGACGCCGTAGGTACGACACACCGGCAAAACGGGCAAAACAGGTGAGGTGGGCAATGTGGGGGCGACGCAGGCGGGGACGATACAAACACGGGGCCGAGACGGGGGTAGGGTGGGTGACGGGGACACGGGCGACACGAGCGGGTGACGCGCGGGCAATGTTGATGAGGGCGTAATGTAGGTGAGACGTGGACGACGCGCGGGCGAGGCGACGAGACGTAGGTGAACGCAAGGGTGGTGAGAGACACGCCGGTAGATGAGGGCGAGATAGACGACGCAGGACGAGATGTGGACGATGCGGGGGTGACAGAGACGTTGATGCAGGGGCAGCGCAGAAGACACGGGCGACGTGGTGACGACACGTGGGCAACGCGGGCGTGTTGGGTGAGGAGAGCGACAAGGGGGCGAACGCAGACAACGCGGGGGCGACATGGGGGCGACGAGAGCGCGGTGGGTGATAGGTGAGGCAGATGAAGTTGGTGATACAGGCGACGCAAGGGCGAGACAAGGCGACGTGGGCTAGAGCGAGACGGGCAAAAGGAGGCGGGTGACTCCTGTGGCAAACAAAACAGAGACGGAATGAATACTCACTTAGAAAGACAGGCTGAACGTCGGCGTCGCAGGCGGGAGCTTGCTTCCCGCTTATGCCGGCGCGATAGTGCTTGAATACGCGTATCCTGGGAGTCCTGCTCGTAATCGATGGGATGGAGAGTGATAAGGGAGGGCTGTGCGTCGTGCCGTCAGTGATGTGGGTGCGCGGGTGACGTGGGCGAGGTGGGCGAGGTGGCAACGCGGGTGAGCAGGGCGAGCACAACGCAGCGGACAAGGTGGGTGACAAGGTGGGTGACGTGGGCGACGCGGGAGGCGAGGGAAAGACGGGCGAGGTGAGCGACGCGGGCAAGAGCGAGACGGGCGAGAGCGAGACGGGCGAGACGAGTGGGGAGAGACGAGTGGGGAGAGGTGAGGACGATGAGGACGACAATGGTGCTGGCAGAGCCAGTGCCAAGCGCCGGAGTCCACGCGACGCGCGTCGATTCCCACGCGTCCGGGGCTGCCAGCACGTCGTCCTTCCCTTTGTCGTCTCCCTGACACCGAGCTCGTCCTCCCCGTCCTCCACATCCCGGACCCCTTCGTCTCCCCAGCCCATATTCTGCGCCCTTTGTCTCAACCTCCTGACCCCACAATGTGCAACCGCAACGACGTCTGTGGTCACGCCCCGCCCCGGTGAGTCCCCCGCTCCACCCTCTTGCGCTTCCTACCTCACCCACCGCCTCCCCAGGTCCTGCCCGCGCCATCGTCCCCGTCCCCGCAACCAGCGCGTCCCAACAGACATGCTTGGGACGCTCGTTCACGATGTGATCGTAGGACGCCGTCGTTAGCCCCCGTCTACCGCAACGCCGTTCACCTGCGCTTGCCCCGTATGCAACCTTGGTGGTCTCCTCGTCTCGAGTGGGTCATGAAGGGGAAAGAGGCCTGCGCCGCAGCGGTCACGCGCGTGAAGGTTCACGCCCTCGGACGACAGGGTACGGAGGAGGGCACAACCTCAGTGCTCAGAGGTGAGCCTTTCCCGTCTCGCCTGTTCTGCGCTCACCCACTCATGCATTCTTGCCCGTGTCGTCCAAGTCGCCCGCGTCCCCCTTATCTGTTTCGCCTTCGTCGCCGCCCCGTCCGCCTTGCCTGCACTGCCCGTGTCGCCCACCTGGCCCATCTCGCCCTGGCCCGCGTCGCCCACCTTGCCCTCGCTCTGGCCCGTGTCCCTCTCATCTGTTCGCCCTCGTTCTTGCTCGTCTCGCTCTCGTTCACCTTGCCCGGCCCCGCGTCACCCACGTCGCTCTTGCCCGTCTCCCCCTAACGCGCGTCACCAACCTCCGCCGCCTCGCCCTTGCCTGTCTCGCCCTTGCCCGCGTCACTCACCTCGCCCGTCTTTCCCTCGCCTCCCGCGTCGCCCACGTCACCCACCTTGATCTCGCATGCCTCGTGTCAGCATCACCGCCTGGTCAGCGTCGCCCACCTTACCCCGTCTAACCCCCGCGTCGCCGACATTTCTTCCCCATATCGCCTGTGTCGCCTATCTTGCCTGCGTTCGTCCTCACGTCGCCCGCGTCTTGCCCCCCATGTCGCCACATCACCTGCGTTCACCCCCGCGTTGCTTGCGCTGCGTCGCCTGCGCTGCGTCGCCCGGTGCGTTGTCTGGCGTGTTGTCCATCTGCCCCCGCGTTGCCCGTGTTCACCCACGTCTTGTCCCCACATGGCGCTTTGTCCACCTCGCCCGTCGTGCCCGCATCACCGTAGCATAGTACTTATATCCCTACATTTGAATATATCTGCTTTGAGCTCTCCAAATGCGTGACTACCTGTGTGCTTATTGTCTCTAAATTCCGTCTAATTGTGTGTCTAAGGGTGATAATCACCCCTAATGTCTGCCCAATGTGTGTCTAATTCCCCACTACATGCCCAAATACCCGGAGTAGCACATGGCTAATTGTCGAGCTATTCTGTCTAATGGTCCGAATTCGCAGGGGACCGATCTAATTAGACACTAATCGATAATCCACGCTAATAGCTGATAATCAGCTAAATTAGTGCCATTAGTGCGAATTCGCACTTTGGGGTTTTCCTGATGCTCCTGCCCCAGTCCTGCTGAGCGCACTCTGGAGGCCACCAATGACCACATTTCGTCCACAAATGGCCTCTGGAATGGCACCCAAGAACTGGTCGCAAGTTGCCTCTCGAAGCGTGGAGAAGCCCATGCCGATCGCCAACCTCGACAACCTCAAGAACATCCCATGGAGTTCCTACGGAGTTCTGGAGGCAGGGAGATCTGGTACGCATGCACCTACCACGATTCGAGGTGCAACGGCCGAGGTTGCGGAACCATTCGCCACTCCCATATATCAGGAACGGAAGTGCGATGTGCCACTCACCTCCAACGATGCACGTGCGTGCGCTGTGGCTTCCACGCCCGAGGCGTACTGCGCTAGGTAAGCTCTTTGCGGGTTCCCAACCGCGCGGCGAGCTCACCGGGGCAAGTCGGAATTGCAGGCTAGAATATCGTCAGCCTGCTTCTGACTGGAGGCTGTATTCACAGCCATACGATTGCTTATGTCTGTGCTCCACCTGCAAGTGAGAGTTTTCCGTGCAGTTTCAGTGGAGGACGTGCTAACCTTCTACCGTGTTTTCAGATGCATTGCCTTGGGATGCCCCCGCACCCTAGACAGCGGGCGCAAAGAGTTGCGGAGCTCCCTCCGTTCCGTTGAGCTTCTGCGGAGAGAGAGGTACGTCAGGTTTTTGGCCAATGTATACATATATGAACTGATCGGAACTCTTCGCCGGTACACCTCCTCAGACTCCTTACTCCGTACCGGACCACATGGGCTGATCCATCTTCTCAGCCAACTCAACCTACGGAATCTCGAGAGCATAATCAGATATCGCTGTTGGTGAAGGGAACGCTCACACACGCAGTCGCCCGCACTTAAGCTTGATCGAAACGACCGACCTTCCAGCCTTCGGCGACCAAAGGAGTTAATTCATGTCTTCCAATTCATGTAGGCATGATTAATGTCACCGAAGACTTGAAAGGACATAGGCGAACTCTTTTGCGCGATACTCCCTGCCTTCTTAGTGATTGCGCTGTGGACGAAGAGCTTTAGCACTAAAAATGCAACGCCGCAATTGCCAACACCGAAGCACCCACCGGCACTCGATGGCCGCCGAATCCCTATCGGAGCATCAATCTTGCATGCACACAACGACGACGCACTGCTCGGGGGACGCTGCGCACGGCAAGCACGATGGCTCGAGTCGAAGTACAAGACACAGGCGACATCCGCGACGCGCTACGGGCGTCGGGACTAGTCGGAACGGAAGCCTCCGACGGCGGCTGCCCCGCCAAATCCTCCTTCTCCACCACCACCACCACCACCTCCACCTCCGGCTGTGGCTTTCGAGCTTGCCTCCTGGAGCCCCCCCGCGCCCTTCTCTCGTCTTCGCTCTCCTTGCCGACTGTATCCTTTGCCCCCCACTCCGCCACCGCCCCGAGTCTCCCACTGCCAGCACCACCGACTGGCCATCTATCCGACTTCCCACCCTGCAAATCATTGGACTGGCCGGATGGAGGAGCGTCTCACATATGCATACGCCATGGAAAGGACGGAGAAGGCATGTGGTCGGGGCCGGTATGTGGCACACCTGTAGCAGCCGCATTCTTGCAATATACGCATTTTTTCGCCCACATCCCCCTGTCTCCTGTCTGCTATCCCCCTGCTGCCTCTACGTGTCGCTGCTGCTGCCATGAAGGTTGAACCAGCGAACCAGAGGG